AGACATTTATACATGATTTTAGAATTTCATATGCCTAATTTCTATACCTCACTTACACAAGTACTGTATGTTTAAGTGGGTGCTACTATGTGTGCATATCCTTCCAGGAAAGAACAGGGCGTTTCAAGAGGTTTGCCACACTGTTCTACAAGTTCTCTCCAGTGCTGATGCGGCAGTGTCCCATGGAGACAGTTGAGCATGGAAGGCCATGAGGAGATATCTGAAACCTCGGTGTCTCATCCCTGCTCTGGTCCAGTGTAACCAGCCAGTTGACCATACTCAAGTGAGCCTTTTACCCTACCTGACCTGTGATGTTTAGGTTAGTGTCTACCCGAGAGTTAGCTACATACAATTGCCTTGAATGTCAAACATGTCATGTGGTCACACAATTACACTGGTTGGCTAGTTCCAATGCTGTTTTTGGACTTTTTAATAGCGCTTTACGGTTGCTATTTTACGCATGTGCCATTCACCGACACGTACACACCCACCCAGTTCGCGGGAAACAGAGCTATGCATTACGGAACTTTTACTTAATATGACGTATCAAGTACGAACCATTTGTGATAGGCTCTGAGAAAACGACCCTTATGGCGCACGTAGTATTGTTGTAGTAATGGCGGTTTTGCAGAGAACTACATAATTTACGGATTCCCGTTTTTCCCCGTATTCTAGTACCTCAGTCTATCGTCTACATTCTGCGCAAGTTTGACGCACTAACTCTGTTCCGTTCCGTAGTTATGGCCCTGGATATCCGGCAACTACCGTCACTCGCGCCGTCGTTAGGCGGAATTACAAGGAATAATCAAACCTTTTACAGAGTCACGTAAACGGGAATTCCCCTTTACTACGTTTACCTATCGAATACGGCCGGATGCACGCGCGCACGTAATGTTGTAACACGGACTTGTTACGAGAATACGGAGGTTGAAATTTGACACCGGAAGTTCAACTTTAGACGCGATTTTTCACATTAGATGCAGCGGAATGGCACTAGCGTTTGTGCTCATAAGTTCGCAACGGAACAGGCTACGCCCGTGAAACAAACGGCAAACTATAGTGCATTTATGGGTCTTTCGGTCTAGCGCACAAAATATATTTCGATAATTTGCACCATAAGGGTCGTTTTCTCACCCTCGGCGCGCAGTGAGGGTTACAGTACTTGGTTTGTAAGTGTGTCTGTCCGTCCGTCTGTCTATTACCAATTTACTGCGACTACGTGCAACGAGGAAACAAAATAGCCATACCAACGGGTTCGTCACTTCACTGGCTTCGTTTTTTAAAAGGCGATTTTCGTGTAACTGCTGCGTTAAAATGCTATGGCATGAAAAGCAAGTGAACAAGCTAAAATGTAAATTGACACAGGCTTACCCCGACCGCGTCCGCTCGCTCTGTGTATCTTGCAGGCACAAGAAGTCTCAACGAAGGGCGTGTACCGACTCCCGCATGCTATCTACTACTGTACCTAGCCCATGTCACACTCTGCGCGAGCTACTAGTGGGATACCATGAGTAAAGGCATACAAACCCCAGCCCATCAATTAGTGCTACTGCGCATGCACAGTTCGCCGAACGTTTGCACTTTAGTGCTTTTCATTGTTTTTAGTGGAAGCTTCAATATACTACCTGGAATTTTGTGTGAACAAGCTCAAGAACGAGGACAGGGCCATTCATAACTTCCTCATCTCTACCTATGTCATGAGTCGCAGTGAGCAGAAGCTGCTAGCCTACCTTACAGAGCAGTCAAAGGTACAGTTCGTTTGTAACTGTGTATGCAAAAGAGGTGTGGGCAAAATTTTTCACATTTCACTGCATCTTGCGTTTTCTACACTTTCAGAATATCGTACAGGTAGCCCGTTCCATTATGAACATGCTTTTATGTGTACCTCGGATGCCGCGTCCTTACACATAAACAAATTTTCTGCATATATGCTCCGTCACACGTCACACGTTGATACATCTGCCTGTGCAGTTGTAGAATGAGGCTATCACACAATCATGGCGACTGTCCGAACAAAGTTAGAGTATTAGTGAACCCAGCTCCTTTGGGCTCCTTTTGAAGGCCTGTGAGTTTATCGTTTATCCGCGTAATACCACTTTACCTTAGGGTCTGTATTATTTTCGGGTACAAACTTTAGCGAATGTCACATATGGTGGGTTTTGTGGGTATAAATTTTATGCAATTTACCCTCGCCGCGTGGGCGAAACAAGAGCAACAATAGCTATACTACTGGTTCATCCACTGTCTACTTACAGTAGGAGTCAAAAAAAGTTTCCAATAACGTTCCGTTTCTTTCCGTTTACTGTTTACTATCGTTCCGTTTAGTTTCCGTTCAGTCTCCGTTTAGTTTTACCGTTCCGTTCCGTTCCATTCCGTTCCTTTCCGTGGGCTGACATCCTCTGCCATCGTCGACGCTTTGGCCGCTGAGGGGGAGGCTGCCACCAGGGCAAGGAATTGCCAAAATTCTAAAGCGAGTTCAGCGCACTGGCAGCCTCAAGAGATCCCCCGGAAGTGGACGGTACCAAAGCTAACTCCGGCTATCAGGGCCGCAATGATTCGCCGCGAAAACAAGGCTAAGCGTCTAGAATGGGCATTTACACGAAGCTGCAAATGGCTTCTCGGACGTCATCTACACGGACGAGACAAGTATTCAGCTTGAGACCCACCGACGGTTTTGCTACCGCCGGCGCGGCGAACCCCCGTGCCCCAAGCCCAAGTAAGCCATTGCCACAATACACATTATAACGCATTACCTAGCTAGAAATGGGGACCTGTGGGCAGCCTACAACAGGGTCCAGCAGCTGCAGCCGGTCAACAACCACCAGACAGTGAACCACTCCCTCCACTTTGTGGACCCAGCAACAGGGGTCCACACACAAAACATCGAATCCTATTGGAATCGCGTAAAGAGGAGGTGTTTGATGAAGGGGTTTCACCAGATGATGCTGAACTCGTACTTCGATGAGTTCATGTGGAGAGAGCGGCATGGCCGCAATGCAGCTACAGCACTCGCGAGTCTCTGCCGCGACATTGCCCTGAGGTACCCCCAGTAGACCCTGACCTGACCGGCACTGTTTCTTTATTCTTTTTCTTTCAAACAGCTTTTCTCAAAGCTACCACAAACGCAAGATATGCACCATCTGGAGTCACCGTGTGGAGCTGAGTTATCGGCCTGTCGCGTCAGCACACATGGAACTAGATACACATGAGGTTACGTAGAGTACACTTGAATGAGTGGGCGTCGCCTTAATTAGTAAGTCGCTACGCGTCGGGTCCGTACACTCCAGTTGATCCCTCTTTCTCTCCAAGCTTCGCTGAGGAGACTATATTTCGCAGTGTCTTGTAACTAGCGGCTCAAATAGCTGAGTGAAACACAGCTCACTTCTTGGCCGCGTACGTGATTCCGTTGGCTGCAAAAAAAGTACTCGGACGTTCCACATACTGTTGCCAATCACTGTGCTTGCATTCTTCTATTCGACCCAGCATACCATCTGGTCGCCAATATGTTGTGAGACATTCGTGGGTATTGCTTTGTACGACACAGTAATAGTGATAGCAGATCAATGCATAGCTACACAGTAACGCGACTTATATACAGCATGAGACAGATACGGAAATGATGTAACATGATGAGGTAAGGTGACATCACAATACACAGTTTTGACTAGTCACGATACTACACGTATGTATAGCTAACATATTGAAAACATGCAGCGGAATGTTTATACCTCCACTGAGTATCATGATGAAAGTCAGTTTTGACTCACCTTGCATTTTGCTGTGATTGTGTAACAGCCATGTATTAAGCGAGGCAACCTGGTGATCTTCTGCTGAACTGAATGTCTGATGGTCTAGCAAGTGTGAAATTTGAATGTGCACGGCAGTAAACCTTTGCCTGAGCCAAAACCCTCTTTATGGCATTGAGCTCGCAGTGAAACTTGGACAAAAAGTAGGTCAAATGTCCCCGTCAATGAAGTTAATGCTCCACAGTGTTTTTTTTTCCATTTGTGAAATCTTTGTGATTCCACAGAACAATCGTCTGCACGCATATTGGAGGTTTTTATCCCTCTTTCGGAAAGAATTGTCCGTAACCCCTTGGCAACTCCATCTTCAGTTACCATGCTCTGTGGCTGCTTTGCTCACCCTCTGTCGCCCACCATCCTTCACTAAGTGTTCTTTGCAAGCACAGCTTTTTCTTCAAACTTTCGATGACAACTGCTTTGATCAAACAGCCAAGCTATTGCGTCCGAAACTTGAAGTCAGCAATGTTGGCTGCAATTTCAACTTGCTTCATGAATCGGTCGCCGGTCCAGTAGCCCTCTTTATCAGCCCCTTATTCCAGTAATTGTCATAATGTTCGGGAAAAGCTGTTTTGTTTCCTCAAACTCTCAGTCAGTGAGCTGCAAATATCACCATGCTGTTCTACGCAGTCCGACACCATTATGCTGCTTCCCTTTGTTTTTAGGTAAATTGGCAGGCCGATTTTCCTCCCCCCACATCCACCCAGGTCTAACTTTCATTGGTGTAAAAAATGGATTCATCGTGATAGATTACCACCAACTCCTTTTTTTTATCATCCTCTTCACATCTTATTTGTGGAGGATCATTGCTGATCGATAATTTTTTGGACAATTATGATTACGGGCACTATAAAACGACACTTTATTGGGTCAGGAAGGTCGTTTTTTGTTGGGATATTTATTTTGACTTATCCGAATGTGCAGCTGTACAGTGTTGTTGATTGTATGGCAGAAGAAACATTAATTATCAAGTGCATCCCTGTTCTTTTTTCACTTTCACCGTCTATATTTTTAGCAAGATTTCGATTTGTGTGTACTTGCCTTTTCACTTACCATCTCCAAGGGTGAAATCAGAGCAAGTCCATCTCTACATATTGTTTTTTCCTGTGATGTGTGTGATATTCAGTGATATTAATCCGTTTTGTTTTTTTTGCAGCTGCTGGCTGTAGTGTATGATCCTCAGTATGCCTTGAGGCTGTGCTCAGAACATAAGCTTACTCGGGCGTGTGTGTTGATATATGCTGCTATGGGACTGTACGAAGAATCAGTCGACCATGCTCTGTTGGTTAGTGTTTGTTTGTATGTCTCTCCATCAAAACACCTGATGTAATTAACCCTCTGTGCGTGTGCAGTGAGGGTTAAGCTAGGTTTATAATGTGCCACAAAGGCTGACAACACATGTTCTGATTGCCACGCTCACTTGCTACCTGTATCATTTTCCGCTCACTGGTTTACTAAATGGTATGCCCAGTAAAGAAGCGGCCTTTTGCGACACAGACGTTTAAGACTCTCCTTAGTTTTGTTACTTCACTTGTTCCAAGAAAGTGCAGATTTTGAAGGAATTGTTTGGGTAACGCCGCACGTCGGGTCCAAATACAAAAGTGGGCATGCATGCCAGAGGGATCTGATTTTCTTGGCAAAACACTCCATTGTTACCCTTGTGGTGCAATGTGTATGATATATATGTATATATAGCATTTCGAGTTTTCCTAGGCAACCTCGGCAATAAGATAATCACAAAACAATATTGTTCAAGGTGGCGTTTAAACTTGATCGCCACTGGCTTACCTCAACCGGTTTAGTCCGTTGAGGACTTGGGTATCTAGTCCGGCGCTCCAAACACCATGCACTGTTGCAGCCTGTGTTTTAGGGCTCCTTTGACGGGTAGACCATGTTAAATTCCCCAGCCCATAAAATACCAAAATTGTATGTGCATGGGATTGTTCACATCAACACTAGTGCACGCCTTTCCGGCAAGGGTTTGCTGTTTAGTGCTTTCTGGCTTTCTGTTTCGTCTGACCTTTTTCTAAACTTTATTTTGGCGGAGTGTTTTTTCGTTTCCCTGTGTTGTGTCCAGGTCGATGTGGAGCTGGCACGTCAGATTGCTGGCTCCAAGTTGAGGGATGAGGAAATGCAGAAGAAGCTCTGGTTGAAGGTGGCACAGCATGTTATCAGGAAGGAGAACGACATTGCAAAGTAGTTACAACAGCTCTTTTTAACCAAGCCCGCAAGGATCCACAATATTACATAGACATTTCGTCCAAGAGAAGACAGATCAACGTAGAGAGTGTCGACATAGTAATGAACAAAGTCACTGATGCAGTACTTTTATATTCGGGAATTAACAGCTTTAATGCATTTACCATAGATGCACTTGTATTTTTAATTACACTGCACTTTGCAGAGCTATGAAATTCTTGAAAGATTGCAGTATCCTCAAGATTGAAGATATTCTTCCCTTCTTTCCGGACTTTGCTACCATTGATCACTTCAAAGTTAGTAGTTAACCATGCTTCTTTTGTATTTAGTTTTCTCCGTACTATGAGAACATTTGTGACCAAACACTTTGGCTATGAGTATCACATATTTGTCATGACAAAAGCTGGTAGTTATCCATTGGTTCTCTAGGATGCTATCTGCACATCTCTGAGTGAGTACAACGCCCACATTGAGGAGTTGAAACAGGAGATGCAAGGAGCAACTGATAGTGCCAAGAACATTAGAGCCGACATTCAGGAGATTAGGAACAAGTATGTTGTCAGACACATTTCTAATTAGGATTCATACTGATTATTAGCATTGTAAAAAGATAGCCTCACTTTCATAATAAGTAGCTGCCATTGGATTTAATTACAGTAGTAAAGAACTCGCTAACTACTGATGTTATTACAACTTGAGTGCAACACATTCTTGGCGAGTGAAACACGCTGTTAGATTTTCACGTCTCTCACGCATACTTAGAATGAGGTGTTACATGACGTTATGTATGGCAGTGCTCGTCCATATACACAGAAATATTTCTCATTCAACCAACTAGGAAGGATCGCTTCTCGCCAACAATTGCTTTTGCTGCATTAGTTATGTGTATGGTAGAGATCAATACTTAATGTACGCTGCAGGTATGTGATGGTTAACTCAGACACTACATGCGAGCTCTGTGGCTCCAGACTTCTCGTTCAAGGGTTCTACATGTTCCCGTGTCACCATGCCTTCCACAAAGATTGCCTCATTCCAGAGGTGTGTGTTCTACCTAGACTGGCATTCACACACCTTAGAGCATGCCCCTAATCCCACTTCCTTGGGGGGGTAGAGATAATGCACGAGCTGTATTGTCCTCGTGTACTAAGACTAAACCGCATAGTGTGTTCTTGGGGGATGGAGGGGAATTCACTGTATGTGTCATCAACATCAATGAAGCCAAAGAGAAAACAAAAGCAAAAAGCACAACTACACCCTCGAAAACTCATTTTTTCCAAAGCTGCCCTAGGTGGGATTCGAAACCCATGACACTGCACTGTAGGCATGCACTCTACCAAATGAGATACCAGCTGGTAGGGATCTTAAACACAACGGCAAACCTCAAACCTCTATGCTATGGCACAGTACACTCACACTCAGCATGTATATACGAAATGGTGCTCAAAGCTTTATTGCATCACAATCCAAAAGATGTACGTTCAAACAATTTTTTTTATTAGGTCATGCGTCACATGAGCAGTGAAGAATGCTCAGAGCTGGAGAGACTGCTGAGCGAGGAGAGCTCTGGCAGCAGAGAGGGGGCAACAGCCATGGCACGCAGCTCCACAAAGGTTAGGTAGTGTGTGGTGAAGGACGTTAAAAATGTCAGTGTTTATTATTTTGCTATTCCCACAAAAATTGCTCAAGCCATGCATTGCTTGTTGCCTGCAACATGGGATATGTTTTCACAGTTGTGACGTAAGGGTTTTACAACTGTGCGAACATTGCCCGTGTAGGTCATAGGAGGATGGCCACCATGTAACACAAACAAGCAATTTTTGCTGAGCCGGCAATCCCTCCTTCCATCGAGAATGTACGGTAGAGACAAAAAGTTGTAAGAAAGCCAGGCAAGGATCGGAGAATTTTGTTGGATAGGTGTAGCTGTGGCAGTACTCACTAGAACCCCGGATAATCCCCATGGTCCTAAACCGTGTGGCACTCGGAACAGGATCCGTGTATGCCATCTAACTAACTAACTAAGAGGTCAACGATCAACACCCTCGGTTTTTCAGCCTTGTTTCTCGATCGTAGTTCCTTAAGCCATCCTTGTTTTCGGACTGTGGCAAAATATTTTGTGTTTGATAAGAGCCTTCCCACCGATTAGCCGCGGTAGACGCGTCATTATGCGCATTGCGCGAAAATGCGGTAGACGCGATACGCTGCAGCTAGTAGAGGTACGTGAAGAGCGAGCTAGCGTGGAGCTGCACGAGCCACTCCTCCCTGCAGCAAACGTAAGCGCAAGAGCAGAAGTCTGTTCAGCCCCTCCCACTTAGCAGTTGCTGTGCCACTCCCCCAGCCCTCCTACCCAATTCACGCAGGAAAGGTGAGCGGATAGTATGTAGCTACAACGTTTATGACAATAAAATTTGCATGCATAAAATGGCAAAGAGCTAGGCTACCAACAGAACAAGTGCTAGAAGGCTGGGAGGACTTTGAAGTGGAGGTAGAGGACTGCGAGGAACTTGACACCATCACAGAGCCTGTCATGCGTGACTTTGAAGAGATGCTGGCTGAAGAGGAAGAACACAATTATGAAAGAGTAGAGACAGAGATAGTGCAAGAGGTGCAGAGAGAGGATAGAGAGGTGAGCGTGTGCATGGTCTCTAATACCTTCATGGGGGGAGATGACGTGGGGACATTGACAGAAGAACAGAGAACGGATGATGACACTGGAGACACAAATGGTGTGGATACAACACAGTCATTGACCACTTCCTCTTCCCAGAGACGGAGCCTGTCCATCCATTCACATCACCTGCTGGGCCAACCACCACCATCCCCGGCAGTCATTTAGATGCCTTTCTCCTCACCTTCATTCCTGACCTTATAGCGAGAGAGAGTAACAGGTATTCTAGAGAGGTAATGGGAGAGCAGAAATATGCTAGATGGGAATCTATGACTGAGACATAGCTACAGGCGTACCTGGGGTTCTCTATCCTCATGGGGATTGCTCACGTTCCAGCTGTCGAGGACCACTGGAAGCGAGATTCTGTGCTTCGCTACAGTCCGATTGCTAACCTTATCTCCCGTGACAGGTTCCGAGACCTCTCACGCTACCTCCACTTCGCTGACAACTCCACCCTAGTATCACGTGGTAGTCCAGGCTATGATCGTCTTGGAAGAAATGCCCAGTACTGACACACCTCACTACTAAACGGTTTGCAGACATATACATCCCAAGAAGAGAGTTGAGTGCAGATGAGGCCATGATCAAGTTTTCAGGCCGTTCTTACTTCAAACAGTACATACTAATGAAGCCTATCAAACGTGGGATAAAGGTGTGGGTTCTCGCCGACAGTGTGAATGGTTATTTCATACGACTTGAGGTGTACACAGGGAAGCAGGGTGACAGGGTAGAAACAGGGCTGGGGTCAAGGGTGGTGCGATCGTTGACGGCTGACTTCAAGGGCAAACACCACATGGTTTTCTTTGACAACTTCTTCACCAGCTACAACCTGCTGGAGGATTTGCTGCAGGGGCGACTCACTGATTCTGCAATCTGGCAATGTGTGTGCGACCGCATGGATGGACTGCAAGCCCGTGATGGTCATGTCAACTGTCTGTGACCCCTCAGCGATTGGAACTGTTCAGAGGAGAGAAAAGAATGGCTCCCGTATTGATGTCCGCTGCCCTGAATCCATCATCCTCTACAATAAACACATGGGTGGAGTCCACAGAGGTGACCAGAAACGCGGATACTACCAAATGACACAAGTTTTACAAGTATATATTTTACTTTCTCCTTTATGTTTCCATCACTAACGCTTACATTCTACTCCGTAAGTCTGGCAAGTGTTCCTCCTCGCTGAAAGAGTTTCGCGTCGACCTTGCCAAGATGTTGATTGGTGACTACAGCTCACGTCGCGGTGGTGGTCTCTTCCACTCTGTTGCTGTGCCACAGAAGAAAGCAGTCCGTGTTCGAATCTCCAGTATGGCATAGCCACAACCCACACTCCTGGCATCGCCACACACTGTCTACACGTTTCTTCAACGACATGCATCGCTCACACCTCCCTCTCTTGTTCCAGTTCTGATGACCTGGGTCGCTCTGCTTGAGTGGGAAGTGTCGGAGAGGAATAGGAACTATTTAGGAGCTGCAAGCTAGATACGATACACAACTTATTGCTGGAGCCATGGAGTAACTGTAGTAATCCTAGAGCGTCATACAAGCAATGAAGACATTGCAAGCTACTCAAAAAGACAAACTCTTCAGCGCAAAACACGGGAGTTGGGGCAAAGTGGCTTACCTTTGGCTGATCCCCTTTGGCTACTCATGGACCTGGCAATAGATCCACGTGATCAGCAGACAGTCAGAATAGATCAGTCCCAAACGGTGTCAGGAGGTGCCCACAAGGTCAATACGAGCAGATAAGTGGCAAAGACGTTTGCCTTTGTTTGCAAAAACTCGGCAGCTTTTTTTGAATGAACGTTTTTGTGGGCGTTTTCGCAATTTATTCCGCGTGCGTGTAAATTTGAACGCTAATCGGTTAACCTCCAAAACAGCCATATAAGGTTTCTCTACTGCCCTCTTTCCCACAGCGTTTGCACGGAGTATCATGTCATAGGTATCTGACTCCTCCCTGTCCCCAGGCTCCGCGTGGTGCGTGGGCTGACCTCATCTATTAGTGCCACCCCTGGCTTCACCGCGAGGAATAGCACGGCTAATGTGACCCTGCTTCCCACAACGATGGCAAACGCTTTCGTCGTGTGTCATGTTTCCGCAACCATAACACTTGTTGCTGGCAGCCGGGGACATATCGGGTACATCAGTCTTTCCCAACAACTGTTGGGGGCCTTCAATACTTGGGTTCGGCTGTGTACGGCTTCCATAGCGATTGTGCGCTTCACGGCCTTAGTCAAGTCAAGGTCAGCCTCCGAAGTAGCCCTCTCTGTATGTTTTAATTGCTCACACCACAGACCAAACTGTCCCTCAAGGCATCTTCGAGATATCCTCCAAAATTGTACTTCGCGGCCAGCCTCCTTAGCTTTGCAACATATTCCGTGATTGACTCTCCTGCCACTTGTAGTACCTGGAGATACCCAATCAAGCTTGTATGTACTTGACTATGTAGGCCTGGCAAGAGGCCATATTATTTGCTAGATTGCACCAGAAACACTCTCAGAATGTCCTAAATTTCGAAATTTTCCTAGGGTAGCATGCCTTCAGGGGGTACGCTTTGCGCGCTTCATCACTCTCCTGTTGCCCTGAGCATTCAAACATTGCTTGCTCCCCACAAGCCTTATAAATATCCTGGGGAGAACACTGTACGGTGCAACACGGCATACATAATTTATATATATATATATATATATAATATATATATAGTGCACAAGCCTGGTTCACAGTATGACGATAGACTTTCGTTTTGTTTCGTCTCCGTCCTCCGTCACATCATTTCGTTTCGTAGCTTCGTTCACAATACAACGTCGTGGTCAATGTTTTTGAACTTTGAACCTAGTAAAAATTGCGCGTGGGGGCGGGAGGGTAGGCACCCGGTAGGACCGGCGAAGGACCCTTACCAAGGTAACAGTTTGCACAGTTTGCATGTCTCAGCATGTGAGACACAATCGTCCGCTCGCGTTAACGTGGAATGTCTCAGCGTTTGAGACACTCGTCCGAGTGCGTGTATTTAGTGTGTCGCAAACGCTGAGACCGTCGTCCCGAATGAGTTAAGTAAGGGGCGCAAAAGACAATGCTATCTCTGAACTGCAGTTTGGTACATATTCTTAAGTGCACCAGTGTGATTTTAGTATTTTAGGTGTACCAACACTCCTTTTGGTCATAACTCTTCAACAATACATCGGTCCTGCCCTACAAGAAAACACCAAAATGTTCACTACAAACTGTCTTTTTCCTTCATAGCCAGTCATGTTACTGCTACATAATTATTTCTCTCTGCTACAGGCCAAAATAGACAGTATGCTGGGCTCCCAGTGCCTCTACTGTGGTGATGTCATGATCATGTCAGTCAGTCAACCACTTGTCCCACCAGAGAACCTTGAAAAAGAACTACTTAATTGGAAATGAGTGTTTGGAAATTGAGTGTTTTGCATGTGCCGATTGCCAATAGTTCCATACTGGTTTGCAAGCACCAAAACGTGTTTTTGGAGCCTATTTATGGATATGAGACTAGCAATGATCAAAATGGCGCATTTGAATGGTTTATGTACTATTATAGGCAGAAGGAGGTTATGCAGAACCATTTTTGTGCCACTGTGTATTAGAGGCACACGAAAGTGAGAATCACAAACCACACATGCGTCAAACCAGATACAATATTTGCCTGCATTTAGTATCTGGTAGGACATTGGTAAGGGTGAAAAGCATTGATTTATAGAAAATGATGTTATTTGGACTACAAGGTTCCTTGCTTTGCTCGCCATATAGCTCTCAGCTCCAGCACTGTCTTGAAACTGTGCCGTACAGAATGTGATCGAAGCAGCACTACATGCTAGTACATTAGCTACAAGTTAATTTTAAAAATTGAAAATAGTGTGGAATATAGGGATAACATAAAAAGCAAGGAGACAAGACAGAGATGAACGTGATGCAGTGATACAAGTGATGATGGCTTGCTCGTGTAAAATTTCCTCCACACAAGCCCTATATATATTGTCGCTAAGTCTCCCTTGTATGATGCACAGCTATCATTTAGTTTATAATTATTTTCATTCTAGGTATTTGGTTAACCCTCAGCGCGCATGCGCAGCGTGGGTTACGGTAGTCGTTCTGTGTGTCTATATGTGTCTACGACTATTCTCGCACTACAGGCTACGAGGCGGCTTATGAGCGATACCAACAGCTTTAGCGGTACATGGGCTAGAAAATTAAAATGGCGTCGTTTTCTGAAACGACTGCGTTCGAGAGCGACAAACTGGCACGGTCGCTTACAGCGTTGCGTGGCCCAACCCATCAATAAGCGGTGCACATGCTGACGCAGTAGGCTCACCTCGACCTGATCTGCTTGGAGGCACATGAAGCCGCAGTGAAGGGTGTGTATCGACTCCCGCATGCTATCTACTACCGTAGCTAGCCCGTGTCAGACTCTCCGCAATAACTCTGCTGTGCTGTGGGGGGTGGTTGTTTGTTTTTGTTGGTTTTTTTTTTTGTTGGTTTTGTTTTTTTTTGGTTTTTTGTTGTTTTTTTATTTGTTTTTTTTGTTGGTTTTTTTTTTGTTTTGTTTGTTTTGTTTTTTTGTGTTTTTTTTTGTTTGTTGTGGTGTTTTTGTTGTTTTTTGTGTTTTTTTTGTTTGTTTTTTGTTTTTGTTTGTTGTTTGTTGTGTTTGGTTTTTGTTGTGTTTGTTTGTGTTGGTTTGTTTGTGTGTTTTTTGTGTTTTTTGTGTGTTTTTTGTTTTTGTTTGTTTTTTTTTTTTGTTTTTTTTTTGTGTTTTGTTGTGTTGGTTTTGTTTTGCTTTGTTGTTTTTTTTTGTGTTTGTTTTAGTTTTTTGTTGTGTTTGTTTTTTTTTGTGTTTTGTGTTGTGTTGTTTTTTGTTTTTGTGTTGGTTTGTTGGTGTTTTTTTTTTTGTTTGGTGTTTTTTGTTTTTTTTTTTTTTTTTTTTTTGTGTTTTTGTGTTGTTTGTTGTGGTGTTAGTTTTTTGGTTTGTGTGTGTTGTGTTTGTTGGTTTGTTTTGTGTTGTTTTTGTTTTGTGTTTTTTTTTTGGTTGTGTTTGTTTTTGTTTTTTTTTTTTTTTTGTTTGTTTTTTTGTTTTGTTTTTTTTGTTGTTTTGGTGTTTTTTTTTTGTTTTTTTTTTTTTTGTTTTTTTTTTGTTTTTTTGTTGTTTTTTTTTTTTGTTTTGTGTTGGTGTTGTTTTTGTTTTTTTTTGGTTTTTTTTTTGGTTTTTGTTTTTTTTTTGGTTTTGTTTTGTTTTGTTTGTTGGTTTTTTTTGTGTGTGTTTTTTGTTTTTTTGTGTTGTTGTTTTTTTTTTGGGTATGTTTTTTTTGGTTGTTTTTTTGTTTTGGTGTTTGTTTTTTTTGTTTGTTTTTTTTTTTTTTGTTTTTGTTTGTGTTTTTTCTGTGTATATGCGGGCGCCTCCAGAAGTTGCTACGTTAGTGAAGCTCGTTGTTGTGTGTTCTATTTTGTTTGGTTCCTTTGGACCTAATTGGTAGTTGTACCTACTACGTACTATGTCCACGAGAAGTGGGGACAAACGTCTTGCTCAACCCGGTCTGAAGCCTTCCTTTGTTGAAGATAATAGTGGATGGTATATTACTGTGGTATGTGGTAGCCTGTCTGGGCAACTTTATGCAAACAAATTGGACAGCCAGCCTCTACCCAAACCCTATGCCAAAAAACGGACATCTCCCGGAGCTTGCCAGTACCATCTTTCCAACCAGGTAGTTTAGGGAGAGAAGCACAAGAGGAGGCACAGGAAGGAAAGCAGAGAAGGGAACAAGATTCCAGAGTTGATACAAGTGAATGAGTATATGAGTCAAGAGCTTTGTGGTGAGCTGAGCAGTCACGGATTGAACAGGTTGCAACTGGGGAGATGTTTGGAGACCATGTCACAAAATCGATCAGCATCAGCAGAAGTTACCTTGGACCAGTTTATCTTTGGAGGAGACACAGAGGAACAGGAAGGAGAACATGGGGGAGTATATGGCTCACAGGTAGCACTGATGACAAAAAGAAGAGGGGAGTGATCAGAGAGGTTAGACCCAGAGTGATTTGCAGATATGTCAGAAACCAAGGAGGAGCAAGCCTGAGAGCATACAATGGGGTCAATCCAAGAGCGACTCAGGCCATCATCACGTTCATAAGTATATATGTGATAGAACTTCTATGACCTACATCAACAGACAACATATATCTAGTTCCAGCAGACACGAGAAGTGAGATTGAGAGTAAGAGACACACACACGCACACACAGACCCAACTACAGTAACCCTCGCTACGCATGCGCGCCGAGGGTTAATGAAGTGCAAACCCTCGGCGAACTGCGCATGCGCGGTACCGCTAATAGATGGGTTTGGCTATGCGTTTACCCAAGGTCTCCCGCTAGTAGCTCGCGGACGGGCTGCTACAGTAGTAGATAGCATGCAGGAGTCGATACGCACCCTTCGTTTTGACATCTTGTGCGTTCAAGATGCACAAAGCAAGCGGACGCGGTCGAGGTAAGCCTGTGCTAATTGGCTTGTTCACTTGGTTTTCACGCCATAACTTCTGAACCCGGTGGCGTCGCTATTTTACCTGTTTGTTGCGCCTGGTGACAGAAATCGTGGTAACAGACGGACAGACAGAACGACTACTGTAACCCTCGCTGCGCATGCGCGCGCCGAGGGGTGCAAACCCTCGGCGAACTGTGTATGCGCGGTAGCTGGGCTGGGCTTTGTATGCCTTTACACTCGTGGACTAGTCGTGGACTAGTAGCTCGCACAGAGTCTGGCACGGGCTAGGTACAGTAGTGGATAGCATGCGGGAGCAGTGGCGTACATAGCTACGGTAGGGCCAGGTAGGCCCTATATACCAAACATTTCGCAGTATAAATTTTAGCGCGCGCACGCGTGGAGAGCTGACCGGGATCAACGACAGGATCTAGGACAGTACAGAAAGTGTGTGTGTGTGTGTTATACAAATGTCTACAAGTGGCGGGCGCCAGTTAACGCTTTTCCAGTGCTGCAACTCTGACACTCATGATGAGCCAGGCGCTAAGCGGGTGAGGCTGTCGCCCAGGACAGATGAAGATGAAGATCCGTCCTCGAACTCGGAAGAAATTTATTGCGTTCTCAGAAGGCCTGAAAATCCAAAATTTTCTGAGGGAGCATGCCCCCAGACCCCCCTAGGGGGCGCACTTTGTGCGCTATTGTTATTGTAATGATTATGTATAATGCCCTACCAGTAACTACTTCCTGCCTACGCCACTGGCGGGAGTCGATACATGCCCTTCGTTGTAACTTCTTGTGCCTTCAATATACACAGAGCGAGCGGACGCGGTGGAGGTAAGCCTGTGCTAATTTGCATTTTGGCTTGTTCACTTGCCTTTCACGCCATAACTTTTGAACGCAGAAGCTCACACGTATTAACGTCTTTACTAGTGCAAGCGCGTTCCGTAATTGTTTCTCAAAACTCCATAATGTTATCAATGTATAACACTAGAAATTCTCTCCACTTATGAGACATGCTGAAGTTCTAGGACTGCACCATGGGGAGGTGGGAGAGAGTACAGCCCATAGCGTGATGTTACCAACACTCTCTTTTCTCTTTTTCATCGCTTTGCTCAGTACTTTTCGTACAGCAATGTTGTGGACAGCATTCTCCAGCTCACTAGCTTTGACATTGATAGTCTGTTGCCAGTGGCTTAAAAGGCAGGGTAAGCTCTTTGGTAAGCTTTTTGGGAATAGCTTTTTCATGATTTTCACATGGAACTCTCTAGTATGCTGCTTAGGCTCACGTAACAAGTAGCTACAGCTGGCAATTTTCTGCTTTCTCTCTTCCTGGCACGAAGCACCAGTCTTGCTGCTCTGCCAGATGTACTGTAGTATGCAGCCAATTAATTTTGTCTAAGAGCAAATGGGAGCAGTTTTCTCGGTAGCATTTTTGCATTGTGCTCTTTCACTGCTCCTTGTTTTTCTCGTAATTTTCTCTGCTTTCTTTTCTTACAAACAGAGTTAGCTTTGTAGCTATCCCTTTCCTTTTTCTTTTTAGCTTCGGGGTTATCTTTGTAGCTAACCCTTTCCTTTTGCTTTTTAGCTTCAGGGTTAGCTTTGTAGCTATCTCTTTCCTTTTGCTTTTTAACTTCAGGGTTAACTTTGTAGCTATCCCTTTTCTTCCCGAATGTGAGCTAATGCCGGGTGGGCAATTATTGTGTAAAGTGTAAAGTGTGCATCAGCATGGTGAAGATGAGTTAATGGAACCAGATACAATAGAAAATGCTCAAAGGATCATTATGATGAAACCACTAGCACACATTCGGAACGGCTGTGATGACTTGCAGAGTGTATATGAAACGTCACATCAACAAACACACTGCGAATAGAAAGGTAAAGTGCGTTGATCTGTCATGTAGAGCATCCTAGACAAGTCACATACATGTATGTATGCCTACTGCCACCACAATGAAAAAATCACCATGAAAGAAGGTAATGTGCGATACTGTTGGGTGAGCACTTATTAGAAGTGTACAGTGTGCATCAGCACGGTGAAGGTGAGTTGATAGAGCAAACCGACACTCACCGGTTCATTATGATGATAGATACATTCGGAACGGATTTTTAACTTATATACTACTACGTATTATCCCTGTGGTAAAAATGAGAAAAATTCCGGTTGTCGTCATGGAAATGATATGCATACCATGTTTCATCTCCATGTGCGCTGCTGTTAGCAAGTTTGAGGAGTGAAGAAACGTTTCTTTAAATTTTAAAGAAAAGTGCCTGAGGCTATTTGTTGTTGTGGTCGTCATGGAAACGATGTTACACACATGCGTACCAAGTTAAATCCATGCGTGGTACAGTTAGCGAGTTTGAGGAGTGAAGAGAAGAAAAGTTATTTGTTGTTGTGCTCGTCATGGACACAATGCAATACACATGAGCACCAAGTTTCACCTCCATGCATGCTACAATTAGGAAGTTTGAGGAGTGAAGAAGTGAATATTGCCTGAGGCTTTTTCAAACTAAATGTGATCATCATGTAATCGTCATGGAATAGGCATACTTACCAAGTTTCATCTCTATGCGTGCTAGCTACCAGTGGAAAGTTTGAGGAGTGAAGAAGTAAATTTAAAGAAACGTGCCCGAGGCTATTTGTTGTTGTTTACAAACATGTATTGTTGTGATTTTAATGTTGGTGATTGAGTACATTATGTCTATAGTTTCGTTCACATAGCTCTTACCATTTGTGAGTTATACTGACACGTGATCCCGTTATAATGTATTGCATGGGCTATTTGTTGTTGTTTACAGTAAACAATGTTGTTTACAAATAAGTATGACCAGTCTCTTCGGGTGACGGATCTTACAAAATTTCATTACTATATGTTATTGAGTTACGCGAGTTCAATCTAAAGAAGGAGAAGAAGATGAACAAAACGATGCAATGTAGATAGAAAAAAGTGTGATTACTCTAAATAACGCACAGCATATACACGTGTAAGAAAAAGAAATGTTCAAAAAATTGATTTTCCAAAATAAATATGTCACTATAAAAATATGCTATGCAAAGGTCTTGCTAGCTGACCCTCTCTAATGGACTGCCCTACACTTTCGTTTTACCTCATATAGCTAATATGTTATTTTTGTGCTGCTGGATTATTTTTGTAACCTTTTATACCTCTTATATGGTTTATTTTATATATCGCAGATTATTTTTGATACCATTTGATAACTTTTATACCGCCTGTACCGTCTGTTGTACTCATTTCACCACATTCGTGCATCAGCTCGCGTGTTTTGCTAGTCCCAAGTAAGCCCTTATGGATATAATTATGTATGTTAATTATAGCCCTTTTGAAGTCCTGTTTTCTTTCTCTTTTTCTTTCTTTCTTTTTATGTATATAGCGTGAGCTGTTCAGTTTTCATGGCACCTGAGGAACCTATCCATTGCTGGCAGACATATACCATCCTCCACATGTTTGCGTATAGTGAGGGTTGATGACATGTTAGCTACTTTTTACTTCTTGGGCTGGCACCAGCTTTTTTCCTGTATAAGACAGGTAAAAGTTTACCCCACAGAATCCACTTAATGATCGCAGTGTAAGTTACATTCCTAAAGTGAGTAGTGATCTAAGGCAGTACACGTAAGATGACAATAGAGCCCAGTGAAAAATGAATGTAGCCTTTATCCCATATTTCTTAACAGTCATATTAGCATGTAACTCTACATGTGATGCTAGAATATAAGAAATATTGGAAAGCTTGTTATGCATGTTTACATCAGACACAGCACAGCTGAACTTTCTCTCTCGATTCAGTTAAAGAGCAGTACTATAAACAGTGTTTTGAGAAGGTCACTGACTATTTTAATATTTTCACAGCATAACTTGAAAACATCACATCCCGTCATGAAGTCATCACCCGACTCTAACAAGAAACATATGGTGTCAGTGCAGCACTGTTGGTATTGATTATTGCATCTTTCATCCTCATCTCTGTGCTAGTGGGTGGCAAAAACTACACCCCACCCTTGCCATGACCCCAAATTGAAGAAAGAATTATATTTCTATGAAACTACTTTACTCTTCACTTTTCACTTTGTGCGTCCCTGTTTCAGTTGAACTGAAAGTAAATCATTCCTTCGTAGTATATTACAAGTAAATTAAAAAATCCTGCGAATTAAAAAAAGTCGCCACTCTTACTCATGACATGAATTTTGAATAATGTCAGTGTAAAGACTAACAAACGAATTCTGTAGAGAAAGCAGCATTGTTAGTTGAGCGAACATTGAAGTAATTTGGTCACGTTCAAAACTGAGGACTTGTCGGAGAGGGCATTTGCTACCAGTCTTACATGCAGGAAACGAATCATAGCTGCACATCATACGATAGAGATCACTCGTACTTTGGGACAAATAGGACTTGTGTGGAGTGAAATTACACAAGCTAGAAATGTCAGTTTGAGATGAACCATCATCCCATTGTAAGCACTAGGTCACCAGCATCGGTGTCTTGTTTCCTTGGTTTTTAAGGCATCACTTATTCCAAACTTTTTTATTTGTTTATTTACTTGTCTCCTTTGCTTTTTGTACTACATTTACATGCATGTTGTGCAATATACTTTTTGGCATAAACCCATAAAAAATGTAACATTAGTGGCTATATATCACCTCAGATGTTTTGTCGTCATTCACATTACATTCAGTTCACCAAGTTTCATTGTGAAAGTACCCATCATAAGCAAGTTATAGGCCATTTAAAAGTTTTATCATTTTGGGTATTTGTAGTTCGCACAATTTATTTGTCTGTAATATTATCATAATGTATGGCCTGGGGCTATTGTTTTTTTTGTTGTTTACATGTAAACAACATTGTTTACAAACAAACTTGCATAACCTGTCATTGATTCCATCATTTTGCAAAGTTTCATCTCCATATATACCTTACCTGTTTTTTGAGATACACCTAAACAACAACAACAACAGGAGAAATTTTGGAAACTGACTTCTTGTAATAAATCAAGTACCGATTTTATGCGATTTCTTGGATACATTCTCTTTGTGACGATAGGTTTACATGTAATCAACAAAAATGGCCCCAGGCCATACATTATGATATAGACCGATAAAGTGTGCTAACTAGGTAGAGCAAATACCCAGTACAATAAAACTTTGTATACACATGCAACCAATTATTAGTGTCAAAATGAAACATTACAATTTTTTAAAACAACAACAAACAGCCTCAGGCAATAAAAACTTGCAAATGGTGTTTGTGCCTCGAACCTGCTTATGTTTGGTTCTCTAAGAATGAAACTTGATACTCTGATGTACCATGATGAGAGTTCAGTGAAACAGGAATTACAAGTTGTTAAACAACAACAAACAGCCTCAGGCAATAAAGACGTGTTTGTGTCTTTAAATTATTTGTGTTTGGTCCTCTAACAATGAAACCCAGTACACTGATTCACCATGGTAAAGGGTTCATCGAAACAGAAATTACAAGTTTGTAAACAACAACAACAGCCAAAGGCACAAAAGCCGTATGTTGTCGCAAAGCAAAGTTATCTCTATTGTATGATGTGCAGCTATGACTGCACATATTGCCCGGGGCAATTTTGTTGTTGTTTATAGTAAACAACATTGTTTACAAACAAAAAAGTGTGACGTTGCACATGTGGTTATCGATATGTACGTACCAAATTTCATGTCTGTCAGTTTATGTTCTTGAATTATGCTGGTTGAAGAAGTAGAAGAAGAAGATGAACAAAACTCCCTATCATAGCTCCATACATCTATGATGCTAGCCATCCCCATCCCATTAATACTAAGTTCCGTACTTGGTGATAGTCTGTTTTAGGCATATATAGCTAGCAGACTTATTTCATATTTTTTTGTCTTTCTCCTGTCTCTTTACTGCAGAGATAAATAGAGTGGCTCACAATACAGTGGAATTCCGAATGATGGACATGGTAGGACCAGACATGTTTTGGTCCATTACAGGGCTATTGTCCCCTATTTGTAGGGGGGAAAATGGGTTTTCTCTGTTGTGTCCTTTTTCAGAGGGTCTTTTATGAGAAGTTCTACTGCAGGCCACACCTGAGGAAGAAACTCCACTGATCAATGTTAGTGGGGAACACAGCATTACCAATAATTATGGTCGGTTCAATGCAAAATACTTTCCATAATTGTTGAGATTGGTCTGATGAATTAAATTCACATCTTCATGTGTGTTACCATTTTCAAGTTTGAGGAGATAGTGATGTCTAGGGCTATGGACGAATAACAGTGATGTACAGTTATAGGAGGTTAGTTAGTAGTATAATGAGTCTGTACAGAATGTTATATTGAGTTGTTCTTTGCGTTAGTACAAAATAATAGTGTTCACCTCAGGTAAGGTTGGATGTTACACCAAGGTAGCTATATAGTTTAACTGGCAGAATTAGAGATCGTGTGATTGCAAGCACAGAGGAGGAGAGTCCTTGTCATTATCTGATCCACTTCTCGAGCCTGCATGAATTTCACTTTTTTGTGCATTAATGGGTCATATGTGGCCTGATCTACTAAACCCTAGCAGTAAAGACATCATCTGCTTGCAGCTCTACGCTGTAGATTCAACTGCAGCTTTGTCTCACCACTTAGCTATGTATTTATGATGCGCCAATGAATGACGTTGGCGTTTATATGACTTTACTAGTAGATGATCACGAATACTGTGAAACGATCTGTCTGATCCTGACTTATGCGCATGCTCTCAATAATGTGGGTGTGTCGTCTGCTGATTCAGCAACGCGGACATTTGCCAGCTCTAGCGGGTTACGGCAACGTAAACATAACACGTGGCAGAACGCACAGTTATCCAGACACTGCGAATATGCGCAAGGCATCGTGTCTAAGAAGGTGAGTATTCTGCGAATATATCGGTGCTCGCATCTAACGCTACGTGGGGTAAGGGGGATTCAGCACGAACGCGTCTAGCACCAGCGTAGCCGCCCGCGATCCGCGGAATAGCTGCTTGCCGGAGTTAGCTCTACATTTCTCTCCGTCGCTAATGCAGAGGTGCGGTGGCTCTCATCAACGCTGGTGGAAGTGGACCACGTCTCTCCAACTGGGTGTCTCGGAGCTGGAGCAACACTCGACGGAAACACAAGGACCTGCTCAAAGCGCATACCGTCGGTGAGTTAGTCGTGCAATATCTGTCACAGTTGTAGTGGATGATCCTGCTCTAGCTTGTCATTTCGTTGTGACGATGAAAATGAACGACGCGAAAAGTACTTTGCTGAATTGGTTGTGTCTTTTATTTGCCTACAAGGAATCGAATTCCCTGGAGAAGGAAGTTGCACCTAATTACATGTGTTGATATACAGGAATTCCTTAGAGAAGGCAGTTGTATATCTAATTACTGTGTCTATTATTGTTCATCCCTCTCTCCTCCACAGCCTTCCACAGTGTCCACAAGTGGAGTCAGGATGAGGGGATAGCAGCTCTCCAGGATGTCCTGAAGCAGAGGTCCGGAGCTCTCTCTCATGGGCCAATGCAAGTAAGAGGCGGGGCGGGATTTAGGGCGGGGGGGGGAGGGCGTTTTGTTTAGTTGGGGGGGCGGGTGGTTTGTGGGGGGCTTTGTGTGTTTGGGGGGGGTTTGTTTGCCGTGTTGTTTTCTTCCGGGGGCAGTTTTGTTTGGGCGGGGGCGGGTTTGGGGGGTGGTGGGGGGGCTGCCGCGGGGGGGGGGGGGGGATTTTTGTGGTTAGGGGGTTGCGGGGGGGCGGGTGGCGTTTGGCGGGGGGCGAGCGGGTTTGGGGGGGTTAGAGGGCTGGTAGGGGTTTGGGTTGTGGGGGGGGGAGGGTTTGGGGGGGGGGGGGTTTATGTTCTGGCGAGGGGGTTCTTAAGGGGTTTGGGGGGGGGTTTGTTTTTGTGGGGAGGGTTAGTTTGTTTGGGGGGGGAGGGGGGGTTGGTTTGGTTGGTCTTTTGGGGTGGGTGGGGGTTTGGGGGTTTTGGGTGGTTTTTGGGGGGGGGGGGGGGGTGGGGGGCGGCGTGGTTTGGGGGGTTTAGGGGTTTGTTTTTTTATTGGGGGGTTGGTTCGGGGGGGGGGGGGGGGGTGGGGCGGGGTGGAGGGTTGGGGGAGCGGGTTCTGGGGAGGAGGTTTGGAGTGGTCGGGGGTGGGAGGGGGGGGGGGGGGGGGGAGAGTTTAGGGGTTGGGGTTTTGGGGGGTGTGGTTTGGGTTACGGCGTGGGGGTGGGGGGGGGGGGGCGGGCGGGGCGGGGGGTGGGGTGGGATTAGGGGCGCGTGAGGGACTGGTTTTTGTTGGGGTTAAGAGGGGGGGTGGTTGGGGTGTGGGGTGGGGGGGGCTTGGCGGGCGGGGGGTTTGGATTGTTTTGGGGGGGGGGGGGGGTTTAGGGGGGGTTATGGGGCGGGGGTGGGGAGGGGGGGCGGGCGGTGGGGTTTGGGGGGGAGGCGGGGGGGTGTTGGGGGGGGGGGGCGAGCGATTTTGGGGGGAGGGGTTTTGGGTGGGGGTTTGTGAGTGTGTTGGGGTTTTTGGGTTGGTGTGGGGAGGGGGGGGTTTATGGGTTTGGTTCGTGGGGGGGGGGTGTGTTGGGGGGCGGGGTTTGCGCCGTGATCGGTGAGTAGAGCATGATGACATAGCTATAACCCATGCTGAGCTAGCTAACACTTGCATGTCTTTTCATGTCCTTTGACAGTGTGTACATAGCAAGTTTGGACCTGCCAATTGTAGTGTCTAGGAATCAGTTTTAAACGACTGATAGACAATTCATTGTGAGGCAGATTCATTGCAGTGTAAAGACGCTACAGCATTCCCAACAATAGCAAATCACACACTGTTCACTCCTTCTGTGCTTTTACCCAGTAGTGAAGATTTAGTAAGCTGATAACTCTCTTTGTTAATAATATCAGCCCTGTTGCACAAAATTGGTTTCATATTACGTCCCATTGAGCCACAAATATCCTTCCGGAAACCCCCACCCATCCTTGTGCAGTTGCAATGAAGGAGTACAAGAGAGTGTATGAGCGTATCCTGGAGATGGACAAGCGACTGGACATTGCCAAGAAGCAGCTGCAGGTGTGTGAGGACAGGGAGAGGAAACTACAGAGGGAGATGGTGAAGGGCTCCAAGGCACCGGGCATCACACAAGACAAACTCCAGCAGGCTGTGGATGCCAGGAACCTTGCAAGTACAGAGTGTGAGTTACTAGAGTATAGCTACAACCACAGATAAAGTATGTGGAACATGAATGGAAGCTTTTCGGGTCAGGGTCACTGTATCCCCATCCATCACCTGCCCACAGATATTAAGTAAATATAATTGCTCCAAACACACTTGCACGTGAATGTTTAAGTTGCACACTCGCAGTTTTTGAACAGCTTATATACACAGCACAGAGATTTTGAGTACAACCTTACAAAGAAACTGGCCTTCTTCCTCTGTCTTGCTGGCAGAATGCACATGAATGAGTGCTTGTAACACCAGCAATGAGGTCACGTGGGGAGTGTCCCTCATCTATGCTACAACTTTGGCTCCCAAATGAAACCAATTTCATTTCAATTTCGAAATTATGCTATATTGAATGAAATTGAAATACAACCCCTCACTTGGGACTCTTTTCTGTGTATATACCGATAGTGCAGCTTTGCTTTCTGCCTTGTCCAGTGACATCTCAGAAGAGGGAGACGGATGCCCTGAAGCTGGCCTCAGTGAGGGCAGGGCTCCTGGAGCTCTCCCAGTCATGGGCTTCCCTCGGCAGGAAGTGTGCTGTTCTCGCGGAGTCTCAGATGGTAAGGCTGCCCTATGTGTGCTTCTTGTGCTGCCTCCCTTGACATAACTGTTAGCTAATACAATGATGTGGCTTAGGAAATTGCTGGTGGTAATTTTAATTATCCTGTTTAATAACGAGGTGAAAAACCACTCACCATGTTACTGCTATACCCCTTTCTACCATTTTGTAGCAGCATTTGTCGATGGCGTCTCAGCCTAACATATTCTAGGTTGCACAATTGTTTTAGACCATCAATGGTGTGTTTATGAAGTGCGGTATACTTTCACTAAACCTGTACGGTTTCCTATGATACTATTTCTCTGCATGGCGCAGGAGTTGGCCCAGCTGATACCAGATGTTAACACCCGTCTTGAGGAGATTCCTCCCTACACCGATGCCCACGAGAGCCAGAAGATCATCTACTCCACACGAGGGAAGCTGGAACACCTTGAGCCTCCCAAGTACAGCTCGGCTGCCCTGGCCACCTCCTTCTCCTCCCCCTCCTCTTCCACCTCATCCCTCCCTCCTTATGAACCTCCCTACAGACCAATGTCGGCTGGTTACAGGGGACCACGGAGAATGGCTCGTCTCTCTGATGTAAGAGTTTATTCTGTACTTACTTGGTGTATTTTTGTTTTCATGCATGCTATCTAGTAGTGTAGCTAGCCCTTGTCACACACTCTGCGAGCTACTAGCGGGAGACCACGAGTAAATGCATGCAAATAGCCCAGCCCATCAATTTACCGGTAAAACGCATGCGCTGTTCGCCGAGGGTTTGCACTTTAGTGCTTTTCATTTATTTCTGCCCTCTCTAACTTTTATGTTGACCTCAGCATGTGGTGGTGATAAGAGCACTAGAAATTAGTGTCTCCTTGGCTCAATGGCCAAAATGTGTCTTGTGTTCTGTCAAAAGGACACCCACCTTATGCTGCCAGAATCAGTGTGTACTATATACTACCTTTCACCAGCAGAGCATGTTGTAGTGTGGGCGGTGAAGGTATAGCTGATATAGTGGTAGTGGGATGTTTGGGCCTAGCTCAGCCACAGGTATGTGCCTCATTGTGTGGTGGAGTATGGGTGTGTGTGTGTGTTACTGTGTGTATGTGTAGTGCTTTGAGGTGCAGTGAATGGCAAGAAGCTCCTCCTTGGAGACATAGTTTTTCTTTTGGGGTTAATGACACAGTGGGGCTTTGATACAATACATTTGCAAAAGGTTAGAGGTTAAAGGACTGTTATAGTGCTTGACCTACGCGAGGGAAGAGAAGACGAGAAGGCAGATTACTGGGCAGGTATAAGGTATTTTGGTCACTATCGTAAGTATGCTAATTACATAAGGGTCCTTACTAGATGCCTCATGGAGGCTCCTGGTACTATATACACTATGCTTGTTCTCCCAACTTCTGCACGCAAGAGTTGTCTGAATGGGTGGACTGTAGGAGAAATCGACCACAAAATAATGCATGACTTATACTCTCATGGTTCATTGCTCTCGCTGCACATGGCAGTGTACACTGTTGTGTAAGCTATTGCATGCCACCAAGTAGTCATATGGAACATTGCTGGCATCGGCTCATTGTGGTAGAAATCATACTAATGATTCCCACTGTTTACTGTGTTTAGCTGGAAAAGTTAGTGTTCTAGAAGCTGGAGCGAGCAAACCTAGTTATTTGTTTGGTGGTTTTTCTGGTGTACAGTGCTACACCTTAACCCCCGCCGCTGAGGTTCAGCAGCAATTACATTGTGGAACCTTTAATGAGGGACCCTCGAAATAGGACCTTCTACAAACAACACTTGTTTCAACCCCATGATTTTTTTGACCTCCGAGGTAGGGATGACCTCTCTACAAGGGAATAAATTATTGCCCACATACTGTCCCTTGTTCGGAATTCCACTTTACTGCTCGCCAAAACACTGCATTCCACTTACCATAATATTATGTAATTATGTTTTTAACATTGGGATTGCTCCTTGAAGGGCTTTCTGTCTATAATAGGGGACAGTATTAATGAGAGGGAGATTAGAAAGTTTGAAGAGGGGCTAAATAGCAAAGTAAAGCTGTTATTGTATAAGACATTTAACAAGGTGGTAGAGTTCAAAAAGTACTTGTATGGGAAAAGTGATGCTGGGTCTAGATTAATGTTTAAGTTCAGGTCAGGCACGCATGGGCTAAATGAGGAACTGGGTAGGCATAGGGGGAGGGAGGGGGTGAAGGAGTGCCTGTTGTGTGATGATGAGTGTGAAAGTGTGAGTCATGTGTTGTGGGAGTGTCCAGCATATAGTAGTCTTAGGAGCAATTTCTTAGTGGCCCTGATGATGGGTTTGAGCATTTCCAGTCGCTTGATAGTTTCAGGAAAGCATCCTTTATATTGGGTAGTGAACTGTGGGAGGATGAATTTGGTTCTTTGCTTGGCCTTGTTAAAGATTTTATTTTGGGTGTTTGGGAGCTAAGGAAGGTTAGGTTATACGGCGATAGTCCTCGCGTACAACAAACCCAGTCTCAGATTGCGTCTGGGAGCTGCAGGGGTGTCGCTGGTGGAAGGGGTGAGTTGAGGTGTCTGGGAGGTGAGACAGACACCTCATGTTCATGTTCATATGGTGTATGTTCGTTTGTTAACGGTTCCGCCCATTGCTCTGGGTATGTGGTCTATGGCCCTAGTGCTATTGCTATGGCAGCCACCTGAGTATTATTAACCCTCGGCGCGCATGCGCAGCGAGGGTTACGGTAGTTGTCCCGTAAGTGTGTCAGTCTGTCTGTCTGTCTGTTACCACGTTTTCTGCCACCGCGCGCACGAAATCAGGTAGGGTTCAGTGCTACACTGGGTTGATTTTTAAAAAAGGCGATTTTCGTAAAACTACTGTGTTTTAAAGTTATGGCGTGAAAACCAAGTGAACAAGCCAATATGTAAATTAGCACAGGCTTACCTCGACCGCGTCCGTTCGCTCTGTGTGTCTTGAAGGCACAACAAGTCACAACGAAGGGCATGTATCGACTCACGCATGCTATTTACTACTGTAGCTAGCCCGTGCCAGACTCTCCGCGAGCTACTAGCGGGATACCACGAGTAAAGGCATACAAAACCCAGCCCATCAATTAGTGGTACCGCACATGCGCAGTTCGCCGAGGGTTTGCACTTTAGTGCTTTTCATTATTATTATGTTTTCCTTGTATCCTCTAGGCATCAGTAGCGGTGGTCCCGTCACTACCTACGGAACTGGAAGAAGAAGACTCTTTTGATAGTTTTGATTCAGACTAAAGTATATATACTCACTCCTCTCTCTCTCTCTCTCACAGTACATAGAGCACATTTTAACCTCACACATTATAGTGCATTATATTAATTTTAACGTTAATAGCAACGTTGAGGTGCATCAATACTTTGATGTGGAGGAAGTGTGGGGTGATAGTGATCTCTCTGTAACCTACAGCCAGGGAGGGATTGGGAAGTACTGACCTGTTTTCCCATTCTCATTTGACCATAGTTCAAGCTATAGTCCATTTTAAGAATGCAAGTTGATTTTCTTGAATGTGAGGTTTTCTCTGAAACTGCTGTTACGGCGTGAAACACAGGCGAAAATCCACCTCGAGTGTGTCAGCTCCCTCTGTGTAACTTGAAGGCACAATGAAGGGCGTGTATCGACTCCCGCATGCTATCTACAACTGTAGCTACCCAGTGTAAGACTCTCCGCGAGCTACTAGCGGGAGACCACTTACTCAGAGCGCAGTCCATCAATTAGCGGCACCGTGCATGTGCAGTTGGAATTATTGGCAGCTTTACAATGGATGGCAAATATTATTATAAATTAAGGGTCAAAACTAAGGCTTGGGGGGAGCTCTAGAAGTGGTTGGAAGGTAACCAGTGTCAGTAGCAGCTCTGGCTCCATCCTTAGTGAGTGGGGAGGGGACACTGCCTACTGCAGGTAGAGTTGCTGATGTGGTCTTGTAACGGAACTTTCTCTGGATACGAGGAGTCAGGTTGTCTGCCTTGAGGTTGCTGCGAATGCTGGCCATGGAGGAAGGGTTCCTCATGCACTCTGTCACCATGTCGGTGATGCTGCATCTCTCACTGGAGTTGTGGGAGGAGGAGTGAGGGAGACTGATGAAGGGTGAGGGGCGACTGCTGCTGGCAAAAATGTCAGAAGATGATGCACTTTTAACGATGGGGGTCCCCAGCTTGATGGCCTCTTGATTGGGTGCACGAAAGAAATATTCCTCGTCGCTCTCTCTCCCATTAAAGTCAGCTGACTGGGCTGTGGTTTCACCACTGCCTCTGTTCTCTGGTCCAACCTGAGCCTCCAACCTGGCCACTTTGGCTCTCTCTTGTTCCAGTTCAGTCTTTAGCTTCATCTCCTTCTCATCCCTGAGCAAGGAAGACACATGTTTAGTGCAAGTTGGTCTAGCACTGTGACCCTAATAACACAACAATCTAATAGACAGCAATCTCTGGCATCTTGAACAGTATGTCAAACTCTATTGCAGAGGATAAATAGCCTACTTCATTAAATCTAAAGTACAGAGTAAAAATGTCTATAGTTTCTTGCATACTTTACATTTGTGCCAAAATGTGTGATATTGACTAATTTTATTTTTCATGAAAGTAGAGCAAAGCATTTAACCCATACTTCTCCAAGGTTCTATCTAATATGTGCCCACAAAATGGAATATAAACAAAACTGGAATACCTTTGCACCTTTAGCGACAAATGAATATTAACGAACTACATGAGTACCAAATTAAAACGGTCATTCCACATGCACTATCTTTCATGGACCATGGACCATAGCAAAGTTTGAAGCACCCACAGACCACTTGTACCTGAGGTGGAGTTCAGCAGCAATGACCTGCTCGTGGTGGCTGAGGACCTGGGCCAGTTTCTCCTGACACAGTCTTAGCTGGCCCTCCAGAGAGGAGATGCTGTAGGTTGGCTCCTGTGACATCTGGAACAGTACTGTTTCTGCTAAGTGTTGCAGTGCCTATACACTTACTTTACTCATTTTACAATGCTCAGGCATGTTTAGTGGCCACGAGACACTACTTGGTCAATAGCTACAATCTCGTTTTGAAGTCAAAGGTTTTCGTTTGCATGCATGCCACATTAATCAAGCTGACAGCAAAATGTATTGACACAAGTGTTAAAGACAATGTACTAGGAGGTGCTGGGTCCTTCACACCTGGAGCTGGAGGCCCACTCACTTTGGCAGCGGCTGCCTGGAGTACAGTGACAGTCTCCCTGTGCTCCTCCTCACTGGCCAGCTGCAGGGCCGTCTTCCCACTATGAGCCACAGCCGCCGGGTTGCAACCAAGACCCAGCAGTTTCTGGACCACTGCCGTGTGCCCTTTCCATGCAGCAATGTGCAGTGGGGTGAGGCCCGTCTGTAGATTATCCATAAAAAATGAAGTCAGTGTCTTACTTGGCAATAAAAGATCACAGGAGGTAATTTTCATTATGAACGTTACCAGAACACTATGGTCTATATATGTATTCCAGCTAATTGGCAGAGATGCTGGTATTAAGCTACGACAGAATGAATTTTCCCCATAATTATATCTCCATGGATATACAGTACCACCTATATACAAACACAATTAACATGCACATTCCAATTATACTTCCAAACAACTCAACTTGAATGGACTGTGGGCTCCAAATGGTGTATTATGAAAAGATGCTATGTACTTACTCTGGTAAGGTCATTGACATTTCCACCAGTAGCGGCGAGGATGGAGAGGAGCTGTAGATGGCCTCGAGAGGAGGCACACATGAGAGGTGTCCAGCCCTCCCTGGAGCGAGCCTGGAGGTCTGCCCCCAGCGAAATGAGGAGGAGGGAGAGGTGGGTGTGGCCTTCCTGACAGGTCTCATGGAGAGCTGTATGTGCTCTCTGAGGAGATAACATTATCACACAACACAGGGTGATGGCTCACAATCCCACGATTCATGAAAGGCAATAATGATTACCTTCAGCATCTAATGCACTAGAAGAACCTCTGGCACTACTTAGCTCAACACTAGATTCAGCATGTTGCAGCTTAGTCTGGTGCCCGTAAACGCATGCGCGAGAGCGGGAGAAGGGTCTGGTCAATAACTATGCCTCTCCACGGGCCAAGGAATTTCAGTAACCACTTATCTCGAGTGGTTGCGGTTACACCCAACTGCGATGAATATCATAATACTAACGCGTGTGCGCACACGAAATGAAGGAATCCATTATCAGCGAGAAGCATCTATGAGGCCTGTGTGGTTCCTGTGCTGCTGTTCGGCTGTGAGAACTGGATGCTGACAGATTCGATGCTGCATCAGCTGGAATCATTTCAGGGGGAAATTGGTCGTCGCATATTGAAACTGTCGAAGTATCACTCTACACTTTCTACTCGTTTGGCTCTCAGGTGGCCCTCAGTAACAGCAAGAATGTTTGTTCGTAAACTGAGTCTTCTATCAAAGGTGTCTGACGACGGAAATAGCATTGGGAGCCAAATATTTTCAAGCTCACCACAAGATTCTCTCAGGCTCGTGCAGGAATGTAGAGCTATGGAGGGTAAGCTCTCCTGTCAGGGCTCTACCGATGCCATGCTCAGTGCCCAGTCAACTCTAAGAGAATTAAAGCGAGAAGTATTACAGGCAGACTGGGAGGCCTGCACCACCGAGGCCAGCCGTCACAACAGTACAGCGATTGCATCAGGAATAGCTGCTGATACATCTTGGATGAAGCTGTGGGACATGGCACTTGATTACGGACCTCGTGGTACTGACTCTCTACAGGCCCTTTATCGCGAATTGACCAGGCCACAGTTTCAGCCAGGCATCTGCCATCTCTGTGGTGCCACAATGGATGTTTCTTACTTTCATCACTATACTCTCTCTCACACGCCTCTCTCAGACCCAGACCAGATTATCAACTCTCTTTCGTCCGCTACTTCTGATATTTTCATGTATGCTAGACATTACAAGTAACTTTATTTTTTGTAAAACATGCCGTGCCTATTCTTGTTTGGCTTGCAGTGCATTAAAACCTTTGAACATTTGAACCTTCGCTTCTTTGATGGACGGTACTTGCAGAGCCTGCGGAGCAAGCCTGCTTGACTCAAAAGCTCGTTGACCCCTGCAAGGGCTATCGTACAGTGCACTGTTTGACATCATTTCAGCAACGAAGGAAGTATGACTTGCCAAAACCGGTAGGAAGACTCACAAAAACGTCGTTTCCAGTCACAAACGAGCTTATTACATGGCGCTGTAGAGGCTTGAGTGACTGCAAACCAACTGCTTCAACAGCCTTGTCGATCGCTTGCTCTAGCTCCATTATACAAAACCGTGACGTTCCATTACACGCACACCTTGGCGAACACGCAGATCCCGTGCGGTTATTAATTGCATACCAACACCTTTTCCAGCATTCCAGCCTTGGCCCGTGGAGAGGCATAGTTATTGACCAGACCCTTCTCCTGCTCTCGCGCATGCGTTTACGCGCGTGCGCTTACTTTTTGTGAAGGTCTGGGCACCAGACTAGTTGCAGCTTGGCCACGTTGCTGAAGTAGCGTTTTGCATACCTTTGTCACAGAGTCAATCGGTATAAATCCAGACTGGAGGATGGCTAGAGCAGTGCGGAGATGACCAGATATACAAGCCAGATGCAAACAGTTACGTCCGTGCTGCAAGAGAAAGAGGATTGCTAAAAGCTAGCTACACCTTGCAGATCCTCCCCCTTTTTCAACGAACTACGGAGTGCAAAATCAACTATAAACTAGAGAACCGGCAATACCTTGTCCGTGAGTGCAGCATTGTTTCGATCTTCTTGCATGAGCTGCACGACTCTCTCCGTGAGGCCTCTCCTGGCGGCCACCAGCAGCTCGCTCACCACCGGGGACTCCTTTTGCCTCGCCTGCTGCTGCACCTCTTCCGAGATACGGCCCCCCAATGACCTTCTTTCCGACCCACCAGCCTCTTTCTCTTCTTCCATTGCTTAGACCAGGCTAGTAGTGCAGTGAAGGACTCGTGTGCAGGCCAGTGCCAGTGGATAGGCCGGTGGCCGGCTAAATGGGCGTTCCTTTCACAATTCACCCGTTTTCTAATCAACGCCCATCAAAGTTTATAATACACACTTTACACGTGTGTAATTCGGACTTCAAACCGAGGACAATATACACGCCGCGGTGTGTATAGTGACGGCTGAACAATGGATCTGTTGAAGAGGCAGAGCAGTGTGTTCCAACTGAACGGGAAATTGAAAGCCGTGATCCTCATCGGCGGACCCCATGTGGGTTAGTGGACCATAGATACCTGCCTAGCCTAGACCACCTTTGGTTGCAGCGTAGATACTATAATTATACACCTCACGGAACCGTGAGGTATAATATATGATTGCAGTGTGTGTAGTTGCCGTAGCTAAAATAAAATACCTGTCTTACCCTAACCCAGGAACAAGGTTTAGACCTCTGTCTCTCGAACTGCCTCAGCCTCTGTTCCCTATTGCTGGCTCTCCGTGGCTCCAGCACCACATAGAGGCCATCGTAAAGGTACGACTCAGTAACATACATAATACCGTTACAAGACCCTACACAATACCCTAGACCCCGAGCAATTTGTCATGAGAAAGAAGTCTGTAATTCATTCTTCCGAGTGTTTGATGGAATAGATAACCCGTAGACTACGTGTATCACTATAGGTTGTTTTCCTTACCCAGCACCCTGATGTCAGAGAGATCCTGCTCATAGGATTCTACAACCAGAGCCAACAGATGAGCAGGTTTGTCGATGACATGCAGCGCAAGTATGGAATACCTATAAGGTGAGTGTATAGCTCGGCCTTACTAAAGCCTCAGTAATGTCATTTGTGTGTGTGTGTGTACAGTTGTTGTGAGCATATTATGGTCAGCATAATTATAGTTCCATAAAAGAGTGCTTGCCTATTGGTAGCTAAATTGGGATGTAAGTGATGGAACGGTTCAGCATACGCGCTCTGTTTTACGTATGCTGGTTGATCTTGTATTCGAGCCAGAAGCCTTCTCGGTTATTTGCCCTCAGGAATGTGACTTATTTTAGAATGCTGGTATAGCCACAAAGCCTGTGTTGCAAAGCTGCCAAGTCTCCCTCCTTAGTATATCTCCCGTTTTATGGGTGATGACATGCTATGTATGTGTGTGCATTGCATGTGTCAACAACGAGGTAGCGAGGAAGAAAGGCAAGGCAAAGACAATGCAACGCAAAGGCAACCTCAAACCTCTGTGCTATACTCTCTCTCAGTATGTAGACTCAGAAAATCACCAGATAATCAGCTCTGTCTCAACACAGTAGTCTCATAAACAGTCATCCACCTAACTCCCATGCGATACTTGCGCTCGAGTTGTGTTTGAATGTGAACGTGGGTACGGCTTAGGCTTGGACTGTTGCAAAAAGCTTATCGTGATTGTGTCATACATATTATTGCGTAATTGTAATACATCACACAGGTACCTGCAGGAGTATGCTCCTCTGGGAACAGCGGGAGGAATCTATCATTTCAGAGACCAGATACTGCGAGGCAATCCCAGAGCCTTCTTTGTCTTCAACTCTGACGTCTGCTGTGACTTCCCTGTCTGGGAGATGGCCCAGTTCCACTCCAATGTGAGGACTATGGCTACACTATAATAGTATGTACAGTTGCTGAAACTTTTCATGACTGTTTTAGCCAATTTGTGCATACACTAAACACGTATGTGTAAGTAAAACTCTGCCCCAGGCACAAGCTCTTTTACTTAACATGTTGAATGCGGCTGACCACTATATTGAAAAACCAATGAGGTGAAAAAAGGGTGGGAGTTGAACCTGCTACCCTTTCACTCACAATGCTCCACAATAAGTATTAGTTAACGTATAGGCGGCGAGGCGGTACAGGAGATACTCCGAGTGTGTTGACTATACCGGACGAGGGCGTAGCCCGAGGCCGGTATAGTTAACAGCCGAGGAGGATTTCCTGTACGCGCCAAGACGCCTTACATTAACTGATTTGTAGTCCAACTAGCCAATCACAATGCTGAATTTCTGCTGTGTCATCCTGCACTACTAATGGACTGTTGTGTAAACTTTGGATGCCAGACAATAGCCCAGTTGCGCGTTAGGCAAAGAATTTTAATGAAAATTTTAATCACGCGTGACGTCATTGCCGGTTGCTCCTGGTGGCCAGGAAAATGTATTGCAGTGAACGGAGAAATCGCAACCGCCCGTTTTCAAAGTCTCGCGAGGCGCACGCAGTACCGTATATTCATATTTAGAGAACGCAAGCTAATATTGAAATCTCTAGCGTCTCTGCCGGTCTTTGTCCGAAGCCGAAACGACGAACGGTCGAGGAGTTACACCTACAAGGCACTAGCTTCGCCATTATGACTTGGGGTGACAGACCTTCTGAGCTCTCTGAGCTCTCCCCTTTCTCTCATTTGTTTAGCTCTTGGCCCTTTCTTTCTTGGAGAAGCAAAGCGCTTACCTAGAGTAATGCTGGGTTCTTTGCTGCCGTCTGTGTCGACAACAAACTCTGGTACTCTCCTTGACAACTTCCTCACAAATACCAAACACTTCCAGCCACCGCGCTCTTCTTTCTGTATCTTTTGGTATCCAGTGAAAGGTTACATTCGAATCTTTTGCCTTGGTGTTGCCACAAACCATGCATGTGTGACCTTCACACGAGTGTAACTCGTCGACCGTTCGTCGTTTCGGCTTCGGACAAAGACCGGCAGAGACGCTAGAGATTTCAATATTAGCTTGCGTTCTCTAAGTAATAATGAATATGCGGTACTGCGCGCGCCTCGCGAGACTTTGAAAACGGGCGGTTGCGATTTTTCCGTTCACTGCAATACATTTTCCTGGCCACCAGCAGCAACCGGCAATGACGTCACGCGTAATTTAATCAAATACCTTGACTCTTATGTGCAACTGGGCTATTTGCACTAGCCTAGCGCTAAATGTTGTCATAAGGACTTCCTGTCCAATACTGATACCGGTGCAGCCCGCAGCCCACAGCTCAGAATACAGCGTATATTCCTAGCACCGGGTTGTTTGAAGTTGGACTACAAATCCAGATACTCCTGCAGTCCATAGTACACCATAGGGGAACTTTTAGGGGAAAAAGTGCGGGTTTGTGTATGAAATTTTGTATTTGTTGCGGGACAAGCAGTCTGTGAAAGTATTTTCCATGTTTCAAACGTAGAAGTTTCCTTTGAAAGGTGCCTCTATAATAATTATTTTCATAGCCTTGACTGTGGCCGTCCTATGTTGTACTTAGTCTGTGGTGAGTAATGCCCATGTCTCAACCCAACAGGTGACGGGAGGGAATGGGTATGTGATACTAGGAACTGAAGCCAATGAGCAGCAAGCCCTCAGCTATGGCTGTATTGTTGAGGAACCCTCCACACACAAGGTATGGTATGGTATATTTATCTCGCTAGTTTGGGGAAGAAGAAGTGGTTTCCTAGCCATGGTAGGGGGCTCAGTTTTATGTAGTTACTTTTTCCACCAATATTTGTTGGACCTTGCAAGTGTATGTTTCTCCATACAGCAGTAATGATGTACAATTAACCCTCAGCGCGCATGCACAGCGAGGGTTACGTACTTGGTTTGTTAGTGTGTGTGTCTGTCCTTTGTCTGTTACAGATCGCCGAGGGTTTGCACTTTAGTGCTTTTCATTATTCGATCCTTTTCTCACTGCATATATACTTGTGATTTGAATCTGCACTCCACATTACCCTCAGGTGCTGCATTATGTGGAGAAGCCGGAGACGTTTGTAAGCAACATCATCAATGCAGGTGGATACATCTTCTCTCCTGACATTTTCCAACATCTGACCCGTGCTTTCACTGCCAACTATGAGAATGAACTAATGTGAGATAATTGACCCTCGGCGCACATGCGCAGCGAGTGTTACAGTAGTTGGTTTGTCTGTCTGTCTGTGTGTGTCGATGCTTATTCTGACACTACAGGCTACGAGGCGGCCAATTAGCGATACCGAACTACGCTAGCCTGAAAAAAAGGGGTGATTTTCCTGAAACGACTGCGTTCGAGAGATATGCCGTGAAAACCAGCAAAAAAGCCAATACGCATAATGCTGATATACGGTACCACACAATTAAGGCAGTGGCAAACTCTGTGCTAGGGCACTGAAACCCATCGAATCCCCAAAGGACCCAACTAGTTGTGCCATTTGGTATTTAATGGAAATGTGTGACTGATTACGTACTCTATTCACATTCTGATAGTGGCCCACTGCCTCCTCTTCTGCAGCCATGATGCAGCACGGGACTCCATTGATCTTCATAGCAGTGTCCTCACTCCATTGGCTGGGAATGGGGATGGAGGAAAACTCTATGTCTACAAGATGAACTCTGGCTTCTGGACTCAGGTCAAGAATGCAGGGTAAGCCACAATATTCTTCCTGTTACTCAATGAAAAGCACTGAAGTGCAAACCCTCGGCGAACTGGGCATGCGCGGTACCGCTAATTGATGGGCTGGGCCTATTTACTCGTGATCTCCCGCTAGTAGCTCGCGGAGAGTGTGACACGGGCTAGCTACAGTAGTAGATAGCATGCGGGAGTCGATACACGCCCTTCGTTGTGGCTTATTGTGCCTCCGGGGTACACCGAGCAAGCGGATCAGGTCGGGGTAAGCCAGTGCTATTGGCTTGTTCACTTGGTTTTCGCACCATAACTTTGGAACGGAAGGTTTTTTCGAAAACCCACGAGTCAAAATCCAAGAAAAGCCTACGAGAAACCCGTGTGTATCGTTGCTTGCAGATATAAACGGATGCTGAAGCAGCTAGAGCGGTAACAGATACACACACAGACAGACAGACAGACAGACAGACAGACAAGACAACTACAGTAACCCTCGCGCATGCGCGCCGAGAGGTTAATAAAACCAAGTACTGCAACCCTTACTCTGCAGGTGCCTATATAAGGTTGATAATGCAGACTCTATATACCCTAAGAGCAAGCCTATAATCAATGTACTACATCAGTGTGGTGCACACTAATTAACCCTGGTGCCGCAACACTTTTTACAACTTAGTGCCCATATGTGGCTGTGGTCACATGCAGCACTAAACAATGTTAGAACGCACTGCAGTACATTATGTGGTTATAATTAGGTCTCTCAACCTCGGTTATCACTCGTTCCTCACCCACTAAGACTAACCAGCATAATGCACTGCATAGTGTGCTCCATAGAGCATTCACTCTACTATTACATATGTGTATCTGATGCACTTTATGATGCACTTTATGACACCTCCCTCCTTCCCTCCATCCTATCTCTGTCCTAGCCATGCCATCTATGCCAACCGGCTCTATCTGTCTCTATTTAAAGAGCGCCATCCAGAGTACCTGGCCACCAACACTCCAGGTGGCCATGAGATATACGGAGCAGTCCGCATACACCCTTCTGCACAAATTGACTCCTCTGCTGTGGTGAGGTGGTACATTCGTACACAGGCTTTTTTCAAATCCACTTGCTAATGTGTATATGTTCAATGGCGTCATAGTAGTGGCAGACCTTGTCTGAATTAGTGTGTGGAAGCATCACTCATTGTCTGTGAACAGAACAGTAAGATGTATGACCCCATCTCATGTTCCTAAGTTAACTCAATACCTTTTGTATTGAGGGTGGTGACCAGGCAAAACAAGGCAGGATCTACCACTGGTCATTGTAGGCTTCACAACTAGAGAGAACTGAAAACCATGCAACAGTACCGTGGCAGTGGCAAACAACACGTATCCGAGGTATTTAAGGTCTGGGTGTCTGTCACAAGACTTAATTAACAGGAAACCAAGAATGTCTGAGCAGTGATGATGTTTAAATAGCCTCTTCGCCAACGCTCAACTCCTCAATCCTACTTATTAAACTGTGGCACGGGCTTCACACCCAAACAATTCTTCCCTTCTTCCCTGTACATAGTTTTCAGTATAATTATGTATATTTGTCTTTTTGCAGTTAAACGGCCCAATATACATAACTGTCCATTTACGTCTCTTTTGCCATCTTAACTCTAACGCACCCTGATTAGGCAAGTGGAGCAAACCTACCTTGTAGTTGTTTCTTCAGCTCAAATTTGTTTGTTTATCGTTCATCATCCATGTGTGCATGCGGTGATATACAAAGTACTGCTTTTTTTAAAGTACTGTAGTGTGGAATATGCTCTCACTTTTGTACCTCTCTGGCTACACTTCTCAGAATTTCTCTTTCTCAAGGTAGAGCAGAGATGTCTCTCAGGGTGTCATCCTAGAACACATTCACCCCAGTTACACCTCTGTGCAGACTGCCTCTGTGCACGTCCATGTTCTGTGTAAGGAGGCCTCAGTGAATGCTCACATATCTAAGGTGGCCATACGCAATGTCCTCATTTCGCTCACCCTAAGAATGCCCACCTTTTCAACTATTTATGTGTATTGCTCGTTGATGGCCTTGTAATGTATTGACTGTCTAAATCTCCATGGTTACAGCTGGGTCCGAATGTGTATGTTGGTGCTGGAGTGGTGATAGGAGCTGGGGCAAGAGTGAGGGAGGCCATAGTGCTGGACAGAGCTGTCATACAGGTTCACTTACAGCGGTAGTGTACTGTACTGCCGATGCCATAATAGAGCACGGGGTGTTGGGGGGGGTACAGGAATGCAATTAAGACTCCGTTTCTGTTTGAGTTACATTAATTTCTATGTTTAGCCCTTGACTTGCAGTTGGTTCCCCAAGACAGTACGGGAACCATATGTTACGTATTGTTTGCCATATTGTATGAAAGCTTGTGTTTCCCCCTCCCCAGGAGCATAGCTGCGTTCTGCACAGTATTGTAGGCTGGGACTGTGTGCTAGGGGCGTGGTCACGGATTGAGGGCTACCCTAGTGATCTGAATCCTAATGACCCAGTAGCCAAGATTACCAGTGAATCCCTGTTCAACCTGGACGGGAGGCTCAATCCTTCTATCACCATTCTTGGTAAAGATTCTAAACGTGTGTTGAATTGGGCTTGTGGTTTTACACTCCCTGGGTTAAGAACCTTGTTTGCTGCACTTGACCCTGCTTAGGTTGTTATTAATGGAGTGCATGTTTGCCGTTCCTAAGCAGCTTGAGTCTACACCCAGATATAGTATGTTCTAATAGGCACCTACAAAAGACGACTTTGTGATTGGGCTCTCTCTAATTAAAAGTATATACATGTGACCCACTGTATGTCTCTATGTGTGCCTACAGGTCAGGGAGTGTCAGTACACTCAGAGCTTATAGTTCTGAACACTGTAGTCCTCCCACACAAGGAGCTGACTTCAAGTTACAAGAACCAGATTATTCTCTAAAAACTATTTTGTTTCTGCACACACACACATTGTACGTAGATGTGTGACTGCGCATGCGCGCAGTGGGGGCGTGCGTGTGGGCTCGGCGGAATGTTCGCGAAAGTTGGCGAACACTCGCGTCTGTTCGAAATGGTCTCCGTGAGTTCGGGAAGAAAGCCTGCTTCCTAGATAATCGTGCTCACGACGTTCAACCTCCATTAAGATCCACGAAGCAATTCCACCGGAGAACAAGCAAAGAGCAGCAGCAATTCACCATGGGCAAAGACTACTACAAGATACTGGGAGTGGGTCGTACGGCGACGGACGACGAACTCAAGAAGGCCTATCGAAAGATGGCCCTAAAGTATCACCCCGACAAGAACAGTGATCCAGGCGCAGAGGAGAAGTTCAAGGAGATAGCCGAGGCCTACGAGGTCCTCTCTGATTGTAAGTGTTGGTTACTTTTAGTACAACAGTGTCGGTATTTGTTTGTGCTTTGCCTCTGCAGCTCAAAAGCGTCACATATTTGACCAATACGGTGAAGAAGGACTAAAGTCAAAGGGAGGACCAAGTAGTGGTGCTGGCAGCTACACCTTCCAGGGAGACCCGCACAGGATATTCGAGCAATTCTTTGGTGGGAGAGACCCGTTCAGTGCCTTTGGGAATGGGTTCAGCAGCGGTGCATTTCAGTTTGGAGGGCCCTCGATGGGCCAGGCTTTTCAATTTGGAGGCCAGGAGGGGATGGATTTCACTCCTAACGGCAGCAATCCCTTCATGAGTGGGTTTGCTGGGCCAAAGCGGCCGCGGGCACCACAGCAAGACCCACCCATTGAGTACCCACTGTGTGTGACTCTGGAGGAGCTATTTACTGGGTGCACCAAGAAGATGAAGATCTCAAGGAGAGTTCTGAATCCTGACGGCACCACCACAAGCCAGGCCAAGGTACTGTCGATTGACATCAAGCCTGGTTGGAAGGCAGGTACAAAGATAACCTACCCAAAGGAGGGCGACCAGGCAGTTGGTAGAACACCTGCAGATGTGGCGTTTATCATCCAGGAAAAGCCTCATTTGAACTTTGCTCGGGTTGGCAACGACTTGCAGTACACGGCCAACATCTCACTGAACCACGCCCTCTGTGGGGGATCAATCGAAGTCCCTACCATTGAGGGAGGGGTTGTTTCACTCCCGCTCACTAAAGTGGTCAATCCTGATACTCGCAAGATAATCCCTGGGCACGGAATGCCGTTCTCGAAAGAACCGGACAAGAGAGGGGACCTAATTGTCAATTTCAATATTCACTTCCCTCAGCAACTTTCATCGCAGACCAGGAGCCAACTCACCAAACTATTACCTGTTGCTTGTGCATCACATTGCTAGGTGTTTTTTGTGTTCAGTTTTGTGTTCTTTATGTTGTACTATCGTGCAGTGTAGAACTGTCACCTTTCTATCCAGTCTATTCGATAACGTCCGTGGCAAACTTTGCTCGTGTAAAAACAGACAACTTCTTGAGCACATAAGTAACCTGGACGATATAAACTGTCAAAAGAATGCGAATTGGCAACACGACCTAGAATGTACGGTAGCAATAATGGTACTAGAAAACATAGCATGTGATATGCATGCTCGAGTGTTAGAGTGGAGTACCCTATGAGGTTGGCTCTCAGAGACTAGTTTTGTTTGGAACAGAGATGTGGTGGCTCCAGTCCATTTGCAGGTGCACATTTTTAGCAGGAATTAGTGATGATTAGGATTTTTGTGGCCATGATAGCTAACTTGGATGTTCAATGGAGCACATTAAGTATCTGAGTGATTGGCATTGGCCAACTTTCACCTTGACAGTCCTTGAGGGCAACAAAATGTCCAATTCTCACTGCCATAAAGTGGAATTGCACAACTGTCAAAGAGAGGTTATACCGGAGAGGAGTTGAGCAAGCCCCAGGAAGACCTAAATAATTATATGACTGTAAGTTTTACTGCTTCCTGTGGGCAGGTTTCATGACCAGCACCAACATTTACCAAGTGTGTGACTATACAATTCCAATAGGAAGAACTCGCTTCCTACAACGCAGTTATACACAAGGGTGATCTGTCCATAGTCCATGCTGTTACACCAAATTCCTATACGAAGTCCAGTGTTAAATGCAGCACAGGACCAGCAAAGGACATTGGCAGAGATCGAAGATTTCGATAACTGCCCTGGACAACAGGTATATAGCACAGTGCCCTGGACACCGCTCTAAAGTATAAATCGGTGTGAAAGTGCACAGGACGCTGCGGGCCTAAGTTTATTTTTGATGAGTATGAAAGTACTAAACCTTGTAATTGAGCACAGAGAAAAGCAATCCAAGAAGAAGAAAGAATAGGGGTGCCAAGTATTATCCATTGTACTATATAGTGTATGTGATGCAGTAGTACAATGGACGATTGTTACATCTTCAAAATGACATTTCTTGCTCGTGTAAATTTTACTCCACACAAGCCCTATATTGTCGCAAAGCACGAGTGATCTCTATCGTTATGATGTGCAGCTATGATTCGTTTCCTATGCACGTAGCTAATGCCCTCCATGACCCCGTTTTCAGTTTTGAATCGTGACTGTATTTTATAGTCTATGACTTCAATGTTCGCTAAGCTAACCACCAGTTTTACAATGCTGCTTTCTTTACAGAATCCCTTTGCTAGTCTTCGCACTACATCATTCACGTGTAAGAGTGGCGACAATCTTAGGGCTTGTGTGGAAGATAATTATAGTATAGCTATACCCTGAACTGACAAGTGTCAGGTTTTGGATAAACATCAATAGTTGGCTTTCCAGTTTACCACGAATTCATTCACAACACGAGTTACGAATTATCAAGAAGAACACCATAAAGTCCGCTGACAAAACGCAGTTCACTCCGCGATCCGGACGGCGAGTTCTAGCCATGACGTACATAGCTAGCTAGCTAGCTAGTGCAGCCCCTCCCTCTTTCTGGAACAGCGGGGAAAACCGGAAACAGGGCAGGTGGGCGTAAGATGGCGCTAAGTTTGCCAAAAAACCTTCTTCCTCTTCTGCTCCTGTTACTGTGCTGCTTAGGATCAACACGAGGAGGAAAAGTTCAAGTTCACCTAGTACCACATACCCACCTGGACACTGGCTGGGTGAAGACTGTAGACCAGTATTACTATGGAGGTTGGTGTGAATTCATAGCCTCTTCTTGCTCACCGTTTTGATCTAAGTTACTTTGCTTAGGTAGCTAGCCAACTTGTATCACTAAGTACGGTAGTACTTAGTATATAGGGATTGGCATGGTACCTAGCATCATAGATGTATGGGGCTATGATAGGGAGTTTTGTTCATCTTCTCCTTCTCCTTCTTCTTCTTCTTCAGATTGAACTCGCGTAACTCAAAAACAAAATAACATATAGTAATGAAATTTTGTAAGAATGTAGATATCCATCACCCGAAGAGACTGGTCATACTTATTTCTTTGTAAACAACATTGTTTACTGTAAACAACAACAAATAGCCCCAGGCAATACATTATAATGGATCACATGTGTCAGTGAAACTCACAATTGGTAAGAGTTATGGGAGCGAAAGTTTGTATACACAATGTATTCAATAGCCAACATCAAAATCACAACAATACATGTTTGTAAATTGCCCCACCCCCATCACACAATCCCTATATTGTTGCCTAGGTGAAGTATTAAACATTCACCATTACAATACTCAGAACTTACAATACACTACTGAGTAACCAACACCCTTATAGAGTCCAAGTGGAGTGTAAAAGGGAATGTGGCAGTATAAATGTTACTAAAAACAACAGGGACGCGGTGAAAGAATGCTTGCTTTTAGTAACCTTTAGCCCCTATAAGAGTAGCACACCAGGCAACAATATAGGGATTGTGTGATGGGGTTGGGGGTGTCAGCGTACTCAAATCTGTTCATTAACCATGCTTCATGTATCCCATCCCTATCTTGTCTCCCTTTCTTTTTAATTTACTTGTTACTTTTATCGCTCACAGCACACAATGAGATCCAGCATGCAGGTGTGCAGTATATCCTACACACAGTCATACAAGAGCTCCAGAGCAACCCTAGCAGGACCTTCAACTGGGTCGAGATGGCATTCTTTATCAGATGGTGGAATGAGCAAAACAATGCCACAAAAGACGCTGTAAGTATGTGCCATAAGCTGAGCAGTATATAGGTGCTCCTGGCTGACAGCACTAGCTATGAATATTAGTTGACCATGCAGGCATACACAATGAACGTATGAGTGGTTAGCACTGTTTGTGTCTGTGCCCAGGTAAGAAAGCTGGTGACAGAGACCCGCCAGCTGGAGTTCCTCAATGCTGGATGGACAATGAATGACGAGGGAGTCACCGACTACAACTCTATCATCGACCAGATGACTGTGGGACTGAGATTTGTGGAAGAGAACTTTGGACCTTCGGCCAGACCACGGGTTGCGTGGCACATCGATACATTTGGACACTCTTCTGAGATGGCCACCATACATTCTCTTGTATGCAAACGTGTACCGTGTACAGTAAACCCTCAGCGTGCATGCGCAGAGAAGGTTTATTAGTTTGTCCATAAATGTTTTTGTCTATCTGTCTGTGTGTCCGTCTATCTCTCTGTCTGTTAACACGTTTTATGCCTACATACACAAGCTGGCCAATAATGGGTTGAGTGTGTTATGGCAGTTTCGTAAACATTATGGCATGAAAACCAAGTGTACAACCAATGGCTTGCTTTCCATACCTTCGAGGCACCAGAAGTTACACATTGGAGGGGTCCCGCATGCTATGCAAATGCTGTTCTAGTGCAGTGTAGTAGCCTGTCAGTAAAATACGACAAACCCATCAATTAGCGGTTTCCACTCGCGCATGTGTATTGGTGTTGCAGTTACTGTCTTGGTTGTCACCGGGTTTGTAAGCTTTGACTGTGGGGTTGGTATTGGCTTTGCTATATTTCAGCTGCATTGGCTGTACATATGTCCTGTATAATGTTCTCCCACACTTCCAGCTTGGCATGGATGGATTTTTCTTTTTCCGTGTGGACTGGGCTGACAGGAGGAACAGACAGGAGAGCAAGACTATGGAGATGGTGTGGAGAGGCAGCCAGAGCCTGGGGCAGTCTACTGAGATCTTCACTGGCATCCTCTACTCTGGATATGGCCCTCCTAAAGGTTTCTGTTTTGATCTCCAGTGCTCGACTGTCGTACCTGTCCAGGTTAGTTAGTTAGTTGGTTAACTTTGATGGTTGCCTTTGGCGTGTGGTTGATTTGTTTACCTTTGCTATTTATTTGACCTCGTTGACATGCACAGCAAGGGTTATGGTACTTGGTTTGTAAGTGTGTCTGTTACATGTTTTTGCTAACCGTGGAGGTATCAGAAGTTAAACATAGGGTGAATGTTGAATGTAACTGGCCAGTCCAAGAAAGCCAGCGAAAGAGTAGCTCATCCCATCAAAGTTGTTCTTTTTTCCGCATGTGTAAGGGTGCAATGCTTATACACATATGGTTTGTGGTTTGTCTATATAGTGCAAGAGAGAGAAGTTGCGGCTGATGAGGGCCAACAAGCCCGAAAAAGCTGTCCAGAGCTCGCATCTTTTTTCTCTTGGCATCACATGGTCTAATACCTTCCATGTGAATGCACTGGCAGGATATGGGTGCTTGCCGGCTTCATTGCCGCGGCCCAATCCGCATGCCAGATTGCGAGTTCGGGTTTTGGCTCGGTGCTGACCTTGACCAGCAGGAGTGGGGAGGGGCCTAGGCTCCAAACTACGAATGTCTGTGCATGGTCAGCAGCACATACCAGTGGCAAAGCCTTGTGGGGATGAATCTCATTAGTTCAGAACCACAAGTGCTGCGCTCCTGGTAGCCTTTATAAACTGGTGATGCCAGAGAGAGAAGTTGCCATATGCTCTGCTGATGAGGGCCAACAAGCCCGAAACAGCTGTCCAGAGCTCTGCATCTTTTTTCTCATGGCATCACATGGTCTAATACCTTCATGTGGTTTGTTTTGAGGGTTTGCACTTTAGTGCTGTTCTATCTGTGGCTTCACTGTAGTAAACCCTCTGCGCATGCGGAGCAAGGGTCACAGTACTTGGGCCGTCTGTCCGTCTGTTACCACATTTTCTGCCACCACACGCAACAAACTGGTTAAAAAAGCGACACCAACGGGTTCAGCGCTACACTTATTTTTTAAATGGCGATTTTCGTAAAAGTGCTTCATTCGAGAGTTATGGCGTGAAAACCAAGTGAACAGGCCAATATGCTAATTTTAGCACAGGCACACCTCGACCGGGTCCGCTCGCTCTGTGTATCTTGAAGACACAAGAAGTCACATTTAAGGGCGTGTGTTGACTTAGCTAGCCCGTGTCAGACTCTCTGCAAGCTATAGTAGCGGGAGACCATGAGTAAACACGTACTAATAGCCCAGCCCATCCATTAGCAGTACTGCGCATGCGCAGTTCACCGAGGGTGTGCACTTTAGTGCTTTTCATTAGTCTCTGTTCCCTGTAGGATGACCCGGACCTGGAGGAGTACAATGTGGACGAGAGAGTGGCTGATTTTGTTAATGCAGTCCTGACCCGCAATAGCTGCTATGAGACAGGTCATGTGATGCTGACAATGGGATCTGACTTCCAGTACGAGAGTGCCGTGGAAAACTATCTGAACATTGATAAACTCATCCACTACGTTAATGCAAAGGTGTGCATATATATTCCGAAAGAGAGCAGTTGTTGTCTTGTGTTGTAGATTTAAAAAACCTACCATCTAAGTTTTCCTGGTAGCTCAGTTTGTTGAGTGCTCACCTAGACTGAGTGTTGTAGGTTCAAATCCCACCCAGGGCAGCTCTTATCCCGTTGAAAAACGCTGTTCTGGGTGTAGTTGACTTGTTGTTGTGCCTTTGTGTTTCTACATACCTCGCAGTTGACATTGTGTGTGAACGGAGCCAGTTTCTAGCTCTAGTTGCATCAGTAGGTAGTGTTTAGGGCAACACTGGACAGAATACTTACCCCACTAGTTTCTTGATCCTGTATGTTGTGATTCAGTACTCATACACATGAACCTCTGCCAGCTGAGTTGTCCTGTTACCTCAGCTGATAGAGTGCTTGACTAGACTGCAGAGTGCCGTGGTTTGAATCCCACCTAGGGCAGCTCTCTTTTCCTTGGAAAAAGAGTTGTCCTGGGTGAAGTTGACTTGCTTGCCTTTGACTTTGTTCTCATATTCTGCATTCTGCAAACCTACGTGAGGTTTCTCCCTGCTGTTTTGCAAGGACTAGAACAGACGTAGGATAGCGTAACGATAATTGCTCCCTCACAGAGTGATCAATTGGAGGTCTTCTATTCAACTCCATCTCGGTATGTTGATGCTATCAACAAGTTGAACAAAACATGGACTCTAAAAACTGATGATTTTTTCCCGTACTCTGACAACCCTTTCTCATATTGGACAGGTAGGTACTGCATCCAGCACAATGCACTCCAAAACATTGTCTTGTTCTCAGGTTATTACAGCAGTAGACCAGGACTGAAGGCATACTGAAGGGAAATGAACAGTCTTCTACAGTCGTGTAAGCAGTTCAAGGTACTAGGTGAAGGCCTGGGACTCTGGAAATACACCAATTTTTCCTCCACTTACCTCAAACTGGCAGTTGCACTGAACCAACACCATGATGCTATGACGTGAGCAAGATGATGTACAATAACCAGTCAAACTTTATATACTTTGACTAGTTAGTGTATACCTTGTAGTTCAGTTTATGAACAGGGGCAGTGTGATGTAGGCTGCATTTAGTTGTGAACATTCATTTATTCTGCCTCTGTGTCTGTCTGTCTGTCTGTCTGTCTGTCTGCCTGCCTGCCTGCCTGTCTGCCTGCCGGCCAGCCTGCCTGTTTGCCTGTCTGTTTCTCTGTCTGTCCGTCCGTCCGTCCATCCGTCCCGTCCGTCTTTTGTCTGTCCGTCTGTCTGTCAGTCAGTCAGTCAGTCAGTCAGTGTGCCTGTCTTCTCTATTTTAACCACTGCTTTCCATCAGTTAGCATCTCGTATGTGTAAAAGCAAGGTTGTTTTTGGATGTGAAATTGCATGTAATGTGATACTATTGTCCAAAATTTCAGGGGCACTGAGAGACAAACTGTGGCTGATGACTATGCTAAGAGGCTTCATGTTGGACAAACCCAGTGCCAAGTACATAATGACCACCATTTATTTGTAAAAATAGTTATTTACTTTGTCTAGGGTTTGATGAATGATGAATTGAGACTGTACCTATCACATTTTAAGAATGGCACCTCACCAGTGTTTAAGTTCTGTGAGTACCTCAATATATCAGTGTGTCCACCCACAGAGACCAATAATGTGAGTTCTGCTGTTCAAATGATTGCATCAATGTTGTTAGTAGCCCTGATGCTGTGTAGAAAAAAACGGCTACACGACATAGATTCAGTGTGCCAATCAATCAAGATAGAACACCTGGGTAGAGCCTTACTTAACCCAGGCGTTAGTTTGGGACTGAGATGTGCAGATTAATTAGTCTTAGGTAAGCGGGTGAAGAAACCTATCCGTGCCAGCACTTACACGCCTACTCTGACAATGTTTGAAGGTGGTTGCGTCAATTTTTTTTGTTCTCGTTGGTATTTCAGTTTTCTGTGATGGTTCACAACCCACTGGGCAGAGCTTCAACTGAAGTGTTGAGCTTTCCAGTCTTTGGTAAAGATTTTGAGGTTTTAGACTCTTCAGCACACCCAATCCCTTCACAGGTACCACCACTTTACAACCCTGTATTGCAATATTAGAGTCGTTGTTGTGTTTCCAGGTGGTTCCAGTTTCCTCTGCTACCAAAAGTGTCCGCCGCTATCGTGGTAACGCCACACATAACCTGGTCTGGTCTGCCAATCTCCCTGGCCTCGGTGGAGAAGTGTTCTTCATTCAACCTAAACACAGTCGAGGAAAGTATGCCTCGGAACTGAGTAAAGTGTTTGTACCGCCCAAGTTAGATGATTTCAGCATTGAAAACCAGGTTAACGATTTTGTATTCATGTCTCCAAGTCAATTCTAATGTACGTAGTCCATGCAGTGATTTGCATACAACTTTCGTATCAGGCACTAATGGTTGCCTTCCAGAGCCTTTTTCTCTTCCATGTTATACAATTGTTTGTCCGTAAATGGAACTCGGTGAAAATACCAGGAAATTGGTATATGTTCACAATATATGAGGTAGCTACAAGCTTCAGTCTTTCCATTAACATTTTACTTTGCTCTTCATTTGGACAGGCTTTAAAACTGACCTTTAGTGGCCTGACTGGCCGACTGAAGACAATGTTCAACAAACATAGCAACATCACTGTTGCAGTGGACCAGAATCTCTTGTGGTGGAGGGCCAAATCCGGGAACTCTTCTGTTCAGCCATCTGGGGCTTACATCTTTAGCCCAGATGGTATTCTCCCTTACACTATATCCCTACTGAGCCTTGTGAATACTTCGATTGTGAATGTAAGTCTCTTGCTCATCATTACCGCGGGCATACATGTATGCGCAGAAGGGGTAATGCAATTGGTGTCATGTCCTTATAAACGTATATATCTGGTCGAAAACATATATCCCTTAGAGGTTGGCTTACCACTCGAATTTGGATAACAGAAACTTACTCTCAAATGTTTTGATTTGTAAAACGAAGCGATTTTTACCTCGGAAATGGTATGAATATGCTAGGAACCCATGTTAACCCTATTTAAGACGCACTCAAGGATAAATTATGGTCGGACATGCCCCCTTCTTGCATAATGAGTTGACCTGGGCATGTGCATCAGACCCAACGCTTGCACAGGATTTATCAGTTCCTTCAAACTCTCTCTAGTTACTCAATATTGCCAGCTTACCACTGAGTCAGTCTCTCACTCTCTCCCTTTCCTTGGTCGCTCTCTTGCAGGGTTCACTGGTTCAAGAGGTACGACAGCAGTGGAGTTCGTGGGCCTATCAGGTAGGTCATCCCTTGTGCCCTCCCTGAGTAGTTAACCAGTGCAATGTAACGTTTTCCACACAGACAGTGAAACTCTACAGCGATTTACCAATTGCTATATTTGAATACACTATTGGACCCATACCTTATGAGTAAGCGGTGAACTTATCCCTTGGACTTGTGGTGTGTTATCACAGTTTTCTCCTGTTTTTATTATACAGGGACAAGGTGGGAAAGGAAGTAGTGAGTCGTTTTACAACTGATCTCAAATCTAATGGCCACATGGTACACTGATTCTAATGCAAAAGAGAATGTAAGACTATAGAGTAGCTTTTGAAAATCACACACATTAGCTGAAGCAAGTATAGTACCATAACACAGATTACAGTTATTGCTGTAGCAAGTACAATAGTACACATGATCTCAGACTCTTTGCCATTATGCTAAGAAGAGACCTGCTTCACAGCAGCTCAGTGGATAGAGCATCAGGCCTAAACACCACAGTGGGGTAGTTCCAGTTCCCTCGGGGCAGCTCATGTTGTCCTGAAATAGCTATTCATTTTTTTATCCATATACTATTTTTTCTCTCATCCTTAGTATAATCAGAACCCTTTTATTTCTTTCATTGCAGTATTCCATTCCTTTTTTCCACATTCACTTCTGAGTGACGTGGCAGTTGGTTATGTTCAATCGTTAACCCTCGTTGCGCATGCGCAGCAAGGGTTACAGTACTTGCTTTGTCTGTCCGTCTGCTACCACGTTTTCTGCCACCACAGGACAAAAAAGTGATACCAACGGGGTTACCACTGCACTGGCTTCATTTTTAAAATGGTGGTTTTCCAAAAAAATTGTGCGTTCAGAAGTTATGGCGTGATAACCAAGTTAACAAGCCAGTATGCTAATTAGCACAGGCTTACAGGCTTAGTGCTTTTCATTTGTGTAGCACTTACATAACTCCCATGTAGCATGGGACTTCTGGCTGGTATATAATGTGTAGAATTATACAGCCACTGCAAGTGAGGGGCCAAGCCATAGTGTTTGTCTCTCCAGACGGAATTACAGACCAACCTGGAAGTGGTACGACAGTGAACCAGTGGCTGGAAACTACTACCCAGTCCCTAGCAGGATCTACATACGAGTAAGTGAGCCAGTGTGTACGAAGATGCAATGAATAGACGGTGTTTTCTAAACAGGATGAGGATCATGGGGTGCAGTTCACCGTGTTAACAGACAGGGCTCAGGGAGGGTCTTCACTCAAAGATGGTGAACTTGAGCTTATGGTTAGTTATGCAACACCCCATCATCTCCCCTTGGTTTGTCATGGCCTGACCGCACCACGAAAGGAATGTACTGTACTCACTCAAATGCTCTCATTTCATCTGCCATCTTTAGGTTAATAGTAATACTGGTTAGTGTGAACATAGTTAGATTACTTTGCCAGATGGTGCAGAGATAAAGTACAGCATATTGTAGCCCTCACTGACACACAAATTAGTTTGCACAAAATTACAGGAATGAACCCCAGCAGCTCTATAGGCTCTCTATGAGGAGAGGGGCCACGACTGTAGTATAAACCCCATTCTCACCTTCTGTTACAATTTACCCCTTTATTACCTAATTAACGTACCTTCTGTTGTACAGTGGGTCCCGGTTAATATCATACCCACCCATGGTGCATCCAAAAAATATGATAATATGCCGGATATTCTACAATGTGGGTGTGTATACTGTGTATACTTTGACCCCGATAGCGCACAATGCAGTTTGTTTAGCTAAGCTAGCCTCGCTGTTTACATAAGCTAATTGAAGCCAGGTAGAGAAAGGAGAGTTACAAACTCCAGCCTGTAGAATGCCTAATTACGTGCATTATGTGCATAATGACAATACGCGGACAAGAACCAAAATTGCCCAATTTTTCTATGGTATTAGGCGGGATATGACATTATCTATATTCTATAAACGGAATATAATGTATGGGAAAGCATAGGAAATGGTTTTGGATTTCAGGTTTGTATGATTATAAACGGGATATTCTATTAAACGGTATGATATTAAGTGTATTAACCCCATTCTTACCTTTTCTAACCTACCGTTATAATCACTGTGTTCAAGAGTGCCCTGTATTATAGTCGCTGTGTTCTAAACAATGCACAGTTCACCTGAGCTATTGAGTGTTGAGCCAGACATGCCCTCAGGTCCACCGAAGACTGTTTGATGATGATGGGAAGGGATTGGACCAGGCTCGTAATGAGCCAGGGCAGTTTGGTGACGGTCTCATTGTTCGTGGCTTTCACTATGTCATTCTGGACAAGTCCACTCTATGCCACAGGCTCTTGGGTAAGTTTATACATGGGATTGGCGGGCATGTGCAGCGAGAGTTACTGTAGTTGTCGTGTGTGTCTCTCCATTACCCGACATCTTACTTCACGAGCCATGAATCGCTCCACAAACAATACCAGGTATTCAGCATTGGGTATAGGTTTCGCTGAAACTGCTGCGTTGGAGAGTTATAGCATGAAACACGAGCGAAAAGGCCAATATGCTAATTAGAACAGCATTTCTCCAGTGGGTTCACTCTCTCTCTCTG